TTCGTATTGGTTTCTGAACTGATACCCTCATAATTTATGTTTACTCTGTAACGTTATGAAAATTAAAGTAGCAAAGTAAAAGTATTTCAATAAAAATTAACTCAAGTAAGAGTAAAAGTACTATAATTTACTCCAAAAAATACTCCAAAAAGTACCATTACAGGGAAAACTGTACTCAAACTGTACTCAATTACATTAGAGTAAATGTAATTCGTTGCTTACACCTCTGGCTTCATGGTATATAAAAAAAATTCTTATAAAACATTAAAAGTTTAAGTACAAAATATCAGCTCTAATTAAACTGTTGTGTGATAATCCACACCAGTCACTTTAATTATATGTAATGAATTATTTAAGTGATACATAATATAAAACATTATTTACTGTACAATGACAGTAAAACTTGTCTTTAAACAGATTTTATAGAATATATTTCTTCTTGCATTCATTTTTCATGGCAACAGTGTTACTACCATAACTTATATACCAGCATTTACCTTTGCCCACAGTAATATTAACATTTTCAACGTTCACAGTAATGTTTGGTTCATGGTTTGATCATGTGAAGGGATGGCTGAACGCTAAAGATCAAGAGCACATTTTCTATGTTGCTTATGAGGAACTGATACAGGTGAGTTCTGTATATGCATATATGAGTACATGCATACTCGATAATAAAACAATTTGGAACTGTACTGTCCACATCAGATTTCCATAACAGTATGATTTACTGCATGTAGACATGCATATAAGTATTTTTTGGCTCCATACTTCCTCTTTTGACTGAAAAAGATTTTGAAAAAGTACTCAAGTTTTTACTTACATACAATTTCTCAGTGCTTTTTACACAAGCAGAAGCAGAACAAGATGTCCAACTACTCTCTGGTTCCGGAAGAGTTCATGAACCAGAAGAAATCAGAGTTTCTCAGGAAAAGTAAACTTCCATGCGGAATACAGTAAATAAAGTTCATTTCTTTCTCTGGACTCCTGCAGCTGCTGAGCTTCTGGCACAAACAAGTTACTGTCATTGCTTTGTGTTGTTTGTCAGGAGTTGTTGGAGACTGGAAGAACCTGTTCACGGAGGCCCAAACAGAGAGATTCGATGCTGTGTACAAAAACAAAATGAAAGATGTAAGGTTTAAATTTGTCTGGGATTAATGGAACTCACTACACCCATAAAGCAGAAAATTCAAGTGCTTTGGAAAAGTCAGAGACCACCCTTTATTTAATTTACTCCATTTCCTGTCCAAATAATTGTTTATTAGACATACTGATAAAATCGTTCATAATTTAAATGTGTCAAGTGGTTGTACTTAAATATTTTACATCAACACATTTGCTTTCCTTAAATGTACTTATCCCTTTTTTAACTTTACCACTTGACACATTTGGATCAAATTCAAATTCATCTTTGAGAGACAGTCACCCCAGAGTCCTCACCTCAACATCACTCAATGTGTTTGAAATCACTTGGATCATGTGAAGCAAGAAATCCAACCAACGTCTAAGACTGAAAAATATCCCTGCATATTTTTTCTTCTTTTTTTTAAGGTCTTTTTTTTGCATTATTAAAAATAGAAAAATTAGAAATCTGTTCTTCTAACAAGCTCACAAGACATTAGCTACATTATTGAAAACAATAAGTTCTTTTTACTTTTTATTTTTATTCATGTTCATTTGCACTTATTCTAATGTTTTGGTGTTTTTGCAAGCAACAACACACTCACTGCAGATATAAATGGTTTTAAATGATCTGCCGAGGTGCCTACGATTTTCGCACAGTACTGTATATTAAAGTACCAACCAAGGTATTTAGAAATCACTGTCTGCATCTTAAAAACCGCATCTTCTCTCTTATGTTTATGTTGCATCATCAGATTGTATATGCTGTTCCTATGATGTGCTGATCATAGCACCTATTTTTTTATGGTCATTTGGACTTGAACTAAAATCACAAAGTGTGTCCCAGCCATTCCATGTTGAGCAAGTTACTACTTATGTGATAGCACTTAAATACAGGTTGGAGGACCCAAGTTTCCTCTCTTTCTGTCTTGGTTGGTATATGACTGTTTTTTGCACCATGTTTGTAGATTTAAATCCATTAGGCCAACATTATTGTACCAATTTAATTGTGTTTTACCAAAGATGGATATGTATGTAATGGCAAAAAACACCCTGAACTGAATAGTTTCTGTGTCTGTTGACCTTTTTTATTTTCTCAGTGTAGCCTGTTTGAAGGCTCCTGTAACAACAAAACATTGGCAGTAAAGTTCAGATGTTAAGGGTTAATTGTTTTCCTCTCAGTTCAGGAACACAAAAAAGCATTAAAAACATCTCCACTTCTCTCAGATAACTTGCACATTTCTACCAGTGATGGGCAGATTGATACTGAAATATCAATGTTCCTTATGATTCCTTATGAGAATCGATCCTCGCATAAAATATCCTTGTCTAATAATGTGAATATTATTTTTCCCATACACAAAAACTACAAGCCCATTTCCAAAAAAGTTGGGATGCTGTGCAAAATGTAAATAAAAACAAAATGCAATGATGTGCAAATAATTTAAACCCTATATTTCATTGAAACTAGCACAAAGACAACATATCAAAAGTTAAAACTGAGACATTTCATTGTTTTTTGAAAAATATTTGCCCATTTTGAATTTGATGCCAACAACACATCCCTAAAAAGCTGGGACAGGGGCAACAAAAGCCTGGTAAAGTTGTGTTATGCTAAAAAAAAAAAACAAAACTGGTGGTTAATTGGCAACAGGTCAGTAACATGATTGGGTATAAAAAAAGTATCTCAGAGAGTCTTTCAGAAGTAAAGATGGGGAGGTGTTCTCCACTCTGTGAAAGACTGCACAATCAAATAGTGCAACAATTCAACAATAACATTTCTCAACGTAAAATAGCAAAGAACTTATGCTTTTCATCATCTACAGTACATAGTAACATTAAAAGATTCAGAGAATCTGGAGAAATATCTGTATGCAAGGGACAAGGCCAAAAATCAGTATGTCATGTCATATCATGCCTTTCAACCTTCCATGAAGCTGAAGTCAGCTTCTTTTTCGCCGGCTGCTTATTCGAATTTCCCCATTCCACCTTAAATGGCGCAGCAGTTCAGAACGTGACTGCTGTACCACATAAGGTGGAACGGGAAAAGTCAATTAAAATGATTAGTTTATCAGGGGGTGATAACCTGCTTAAGGAGACTGTCAGTCTAATGACGTGAATTCAGTGCGCAGTAGCTTTAGCTCACAAGTAGCAAAATTCATATTTCAACTCTTTAACAACCTCATAATTCAGAGGATCCAGTGGTATTCGAGAGACGAATGTTCAAAGGACAAACCGTATCGGGTTGCCGAACATTTTTATTTAACACAGGGGGGTGATAGAGGCGATTTTTCGAAAACCCTATTCATTCTGGCCATAGAGGAAGCTTAGACCCGGAGTTCCTAATATGGGCATAAGAGCATGGCGCTGACTACAAAATGACGACACGACTACAGTGGTCTATAAGGAGTGTTTCAGCATGGAATGTTTCTGAATGAGGCACGATACAGGACAGTCAACCAGAACAGGGCTCATTTACGCATGCCAGTCTTACAGTCATGTAAGAATTAATGATGATTTTGGTCCTTAAGGAAAAAACTAAAATGCAAAATTTACATAAAAATAAAATGTAAGAGATGGGCTCTTTATATGATTTTTGCCCATTTTTATACATTTGTAAACGTATTTGGTAAGTACACTTTACATGTATTTGTTTCCACGTGGGTTTTATGAAATTCATTGTTTATTTGATGCAGATAATTTGGCAGTTTACTTAATGCAAAGGCCTTTTGGATGTGCACATTTACAGGTTTTCTCTGAAGAGTTCCCTTGGTTATATGAACAAGACAATTTTGAAATATTTGTGAAACTATAGGTATTGGGATTGAGATTTAGTTGTATACAAAAGTTTGAATACCCTGGACGAAACACATACTTTGCTGATTTTCTAAGTGAAAATAAGTGAACAATTCCTCAGAGAACAGACTTAAATGTCTACAGATTTTAGTGCACAATTTGTATTTATCTGCTGAGTTTGACATTCTGAAAAAAAAACATAAAATATAAAATGTGCCATAACTTTTGCACAGACCACATTTTACACGTTTTCGTTTTTCAACTTGTTAAATAAACTATAATTGTGTATTAAAATGTGCTGAAGTGTGTTCTCTGTAGCAGATATGTTAACTTGCTGTTACTTGAAATCGCACTGAAAAGACATTAACAGAGAACTTGTAGAAAGGAGAATTAACACTCTGCAGTGTCTTCCGGGTTTCTCAAACGCTAGAGGGCGCTCCCGAGCGCGTCCAAAATGAATGGGTTAATATTGAGCATTTGAGCAAAATCATAGTTTATAAATACTTAAACATTTTTAATGTAAAAGAAGGCAATCATTTCCTGAACACTGAATAGCACATTTGAACACCGCTGTTATATTTTAAGAGCTTTTAAACTCGAGTTATAGGAGTTTAAAACGGCACCTCATGTATGTCCATGACGTCAGTAAGCGCGAACAGCCAATGAGCTGCTCCGTTTGCCAATCAATCATCACGCTCTAGCAGTAATGCCCGCCTCCTGCTGCCCAAAACCCGTTTGCTGTAAAAGGAAATATTTAGGTAAGATTTCTTTGTTTTTTAGTGACATACATCCTTCTACCCTTCTAAAGAAAGGTCCTGGGCGAGTGGTTAGAAACTATTTTAACTTTTCGTTTTTAGCCGTTGGGCACCATTTAAGTTACTCCCATTCGTTGATTCTCCCTCGCGGGCGCCCTCTCTTGTGGTTTTTGATATAACGGGGGGAATATTAAGCGGCCAGGCTCCTCGTAAACCGGCTCTGGGGTTAATTTCTGTTCCCATTTCTTCACTTCCTGCGTTATCCCGTCTCCAACACATTAGGGGGCGACACTGAGTGTCCGTTACAAGATGTGCGCCGTTTCCTTCGAAACCGGTCTAACGATGTGAAGAAGTGCGGCACGGAAACAGAACAATAATAAAGAGCTTCAGCGGAGAAGTGGGGACTCTGGGGTGATTTCACGTTACAATGAAAGAAAAATAACAGTAACTTTGAGCCCTACGGCGTTAAATCTCTCCCCACGCATTAATATACACGGGCGAAACAGTGCTAAAACAAGCGAGCCGGTGTTTATGAACAGAATTATAACCCTTAACTGGCTGCCTGGAGCCACTGTGTCTACATTTCTGCCCTACATGAATACGCTTCTACACGGCAGAGAGAAAAGCACCACCACATACGCACACAGCAGTAAGGACTTTCACTGAGACTCCTGCAGGTCCTACAGAGAGCGAGTGTTGAGCTCAGAGAGAGAGAGAGAGAGCGAAAGAGCTGTGGGGTAAAAGGAGAAAATCATGGTACACGGGAAAGATGAGTGCAGACAGCATGGCAGACCAGCACAGATGTCCATACCCAAACGGCTGACTTGTTCTTCAGCTCAGAGGGGGCTTTCAAACCGTGCAACAGCATCAGGTACAACATTACTCTGTCCCATTCCTAGATTACCTACCCCCTTCCTTGTACAAGGCTGAAGTCGGGTTCCTATTCGCCAGCATCTTTCAATATTCAGTTCCACCTTAAACAGGGCAGCAGTTCCATGCTGGCGCCGGTACAGTGAGCACCATTTAAGGTGGAACGAAAAGTTCGAATAAGCAGCTAAGCTTCGTCTTCCGTGTCCTGCTTTTTTTGTTAAATTACCTTATTATTCAGTTGTTAAACGTAAGACCTATTGCGAATTATTCTGCAGTGCTTGCCTTAATACGGGCCAGTAGAGTTTAAAGGGGAATTCTACCGATTTTTCCAATTTGTGCATAATCAAATCATTAAAATGTAAACGCAGTAATTCAGTGTAGTCTGGTGTGAAATGCATTCTAGAAAACTTACCAAGTCAGAACTGTTCAGAGCGGTGGTGACCAAGATGAAAGGAACCAGATGTCTGAAACCTTTAACTGTTCTTAAAGCTATCTCAAAGAAAGTTATTACATGACATGGTTGTGAAGATGTGTTATGTCTGAGATATTGTTTTACAATGGTTTTGAGTTTTGGCCTAAAGGTTTTGCTAAAAATATTGTCGCATGAGCAGAAGAAGAAACACAGGAGTGGCCATGATCTGCTGCAAGTAGTGCTCTTTATTGAACACACAGCAAGACAGGCTTGTCACAACACTGAACTTCAGGGGGAGGTCACCACTAGCCACACACTTCACCCCTATGTTGACTCCAACAACATTAAACACACAAATAGTGCCTTTGTTGGAGGGCACGCGCATACCATGAGCCTGTGTGTGTGGGCATCTGCCTAGCCACACCTGCAGAGTTTCTTAGTGCAGATCTCTATAACTGAGGGGAGCTTATCCTGCTTGCAGCTTTACCAACAAGTCAATTCGCTTTTTTTTGTGATTTTTTTCCATAAAGAGAGGCCATATTGAGCATTACAAGCTTTCCCATTCATTTGTTACCCAGTGACCTGTTTCATCCTTTATAATATTTCTGGTACAGAGCAGCACAGTGTAGTTACAAATCTGAACCCAGAACTATGCATACCATGGTCGAGTACCAGTTAATGTTTCCCATTGCAAACAGAACCATTAAAGTATGTAGACATCTGTTAACTTTTAAAGGCATGGTTTCTAACATGAAATCTAGCATTAACAGTTAACACAAACAACAGTAGCAACAATAGAGGAGCTCATTCTGTGATGCTTGTTTGATCCTTCAGTGGTGTGCACCATAACTGGCTCACAGGCTGTGTTGGAAATAGCATATACTGTATATTGCATATTGCACCAGTATATACTTTATTCTGCATGCTAGTCTTCATAGTAGCATAAAGTATGTTATCCAGTATGCGACAAAGTGAGCTGTACTACAGGACAGAGGCACAACTAGACTGCCAGCAGCAGGGGCTGATCCAATCAGACCCATCTCAAGACCCGCCCTATTTTTCCTAGCCCTCCATTCACTACTTAGTAACCGTTGCTAGGTGCTTTACAGCAACATATGTGGATATATTTTAGTAAAGAGTTGTGCCTGCTGAATTTTGAAAGACGCTGTTTCTACTCATTTCCAAAAGCCACAAATAAACTGAAACAATGTCAGTTTTGAGTCAATCTGTGTGGTAAACCTGTTTGGTTTCCAGAGACAGCTCTGTGTTCCTATGTTTGCTAATAGGTTAGTCATCATACATTCGTAGTTGGTTATATGAGTTAGTTTGACTGTATAAAAAGCAGTGAAGCCTGAAAAGCCAATGCTGTGAGGACTGTTTGGCTCAGACTAACTTTAGTAAGTTACTGTTATTTACTAACTATGTTATCTATGCTGTTAACTTTATTAAATAAATGAAGTAAGCAAACCCACTTTAAAACCAGCAGAGAAGACTAAGGGGGCTTAATGAGTGCAACAACAAGACAAATTATCTCTGTTCATTTCATTCATGTATCCATAAAAGGGTGAATCGCAAGCTATTCAAATTTTCAGAGCAAACCAGGCTGTTACATCAGTGGTTACGTTCTCTTGGAATTACTGTGTTGTGTTTGCAGATGCAGTATATCATGAATATTTGGCCATGCCAGTACATCCTTTGTTGTCCTAGTATCGTTAGCGTACTCGGGAAGTTCATTGGTCACATGCTGCGTACTACTTACTACTTTTAGGCACAATCAGTATGCGAACAGGTGTATAGACTACTAGACTATTTTGAACACAGCCACAGACATGTAACTGTATCATACTGCACTGTCTGAATGAAAAATGGCATTTAAGTCAGGCTGTCAATCTTCTGGAGCCGCACTAAAAAAAATGAAACATTTCATCACGTGTACATTGTTGCAGGGCTACAAACTGGAAATGCACAGTATTTTTCTAGGAACAAAAATATGAAGTCTTTTGAAACAGTGATGTTATTAAGCCCATTATTATTATTTATATATTGTCTCCAAACTCCCAGATGTTTTTGGATCAGCATCTCATCTTACGTGATTTCATTCAGTTTAACATTTGGCAGGATTTATATAGTATGTGGTTTTATAGGCTTTAGAGTAATTCAGTAATCATGACCTGTAAATAGACAATAACTGAATGTCCTCTGTGCTTTTCTAGATACTCACATGATTTTGTTTGTGTCACATGTAATGATGTGTGAAACCACCTAGGCAGCTATGAATTTGAAATAGCTAACACTGTTGTGCATTTGATCATAACAGCCTCCTTATTGCCAAGTCTATTAGCTTTCTAAACTTACTATTATATTGGATTAAGTCTGCTTACAGCTACAGTGAATGGAACAGTATTAACTGTTTAACAGTGAAACTTTCATGCAACTTGTTGCTTGAAACCTACATGAGCTGCATGATGTTAAGCGTCCCGCAGCTCATTAGAAACTCTAACGCTAACAGTGCTTGTGCCACCGTTTGTTCTTCTTTAGCTAGTCCGCTGTTATCGTGATTAATGCAGATAAGCTAGATTCGTTTTCTCATCTCTTCACGCCCCCAAATTTTACTAAAATTAAAATTATTAGATGGGAAGAATGAGACCCGGTTCCTGCTTTTAGGACAGGTTGAGCGAGGCTGTACGTTAAGGTTAACGGCTACTTAAACATGAATTTCCAAAAGCTTAATATTAATACAACAGATAACAAAATCAAATATATAGCTGTATGTATAGGGTAAAAGAACGGCAGTGACAGCTAAAAATGCCGCAAATAACGTTATATAGCTAAATAATACTTCGCAGATCAAGAATGTGTTGCGTGCAGCTTTAATTGTTTTTGAACTGCTCACGGTAACGGTAAGCTCAGCTCACATCATGTGGCTGGTTGCCTGATGGTTTCACAGTGTAAAGTGAGCCTTGAGCCCTATTCGGACGAACTAGTTTTACTTCGGGAGGTGGGGTAATACACGACGTATGTAATGTTTACTGTTGAAAATACCTCAAAACATAAAATTTAGCCGTTAGTCAGTTTACCCTAACCATCTGTCAAACCCGCTGTCTTAAGTGAGCATCGCCTGAATTCACAGGCAACCTCGCTGCATAAAATCAGACTGTTCTTCTGCTGAGTTGTGCACGTGAGGCAGGGCTGTGACGTTACATGGCAGCTCATAGCCTCAGAGAGCACAAGTAAACACTTCTTCGAGTGATTATAAATTTAACCAGCCCCGGTTCCACAGGATAAAATAGAGTTTTTAACTCGCGCGGGATTAACCTGGGTTTTTTTCCAATTCACTTCACTTTTTACGGCGCTGCCCGTTACACCAGATTTACGCATCTTTTACGATGTCGTATTAGCAGATTAGTTTGGGATATTTAATGCTGAAAGAACTATAAGTAGTCTCATTCGCTTTGCTAGTTTAATACTGGCAGTATTTCATCTCTTTCTGTGGGTCAAAACAGACGAGAGGAGTATGGACAAAAACCTAATCTTACTAACCTAGCTAGATATCGTTTTTGGTTCAGGGCAGGTCTGTGGCTTAATCTCAAATGGCTCCGTGCTTCCCGTATAGTACGCTGCAAAGGTCATGAAAATATGGCTTCTGCACCTAAAGAGTGCACTTAATATAGAATAGGATGTTGTGCAGCTATGACTGAATATAAATGGATTTTTGGACATTTAACGCGCTGTTTCTGTGTAGAAGCTATCATATAATGGGCTACATAGTGCACACTACATAGGGAATAGGAAGCCATTTGAGACTGAGCCTGTAATTTGCCCAGGTTTTGTTCATGCTACAGGCTAAGAATGCTCTCTTACATGAAGCAAAACCGCTCGGGTAGATAACCACACCTTAAGACTTACTGGATAAACATGTAGGATAGCGTGCCAACCGAGCAGAGAGCAGTGCAAAATACCCAGGTGATTACTACTGAAGATCTTGTTACGGATCAGTTGCCATTTTCAGCTGCTGTATAATTCTTGCATATATACTGTACAGATTAGGTAGAGGTGATAAAACTAATGTTCTCTACGCATATGTGACAGTGGTGCGCATGTGCAATGCAAATCAGGCAGGGGCTGCAGATCGACCGTCGCAAATGACTGTCACGGTGCATTTGGAATGGACTAAAATCACTGAGAAATGCTGGTAAAAAAAATTAATTACCCCACCTCGTTGTTAAACTTACCATGTCTGAGGATTAACCGGCCACACCAATGGGGAATTTCACAGATTTTTCAAGATTTCTTCATAATCCGGTCACTGAGATGTAAACCAAGTCATTCAGCATGGTTTAATGTGAAGTGGTACACTGTAAAGAAACTTATCAACTCAGATTTTCTTTACAGTGGTGGTGATAGGAACAAGAAGAGCAATGTCCACACTTTGCTCACAAATATAGCCATTTTATTTACTATCCAAAACCACCAGTGAACATACATAGTTTTTATAGGTATATTTATATTGTTGATGATGGTAAACTCTGGTAAATCTGCGTAATTGGTAAAAAAGTGATAAATCTGCAGAAAGCCCCGTTTGGGGACTATTTGCTTTAGTATGACCTGTTTGTATCTCTCCATCCATGAATGGGTTTAAAAATGAGGTCCAAGGCCAAAATCAGGGCCAAGGCACAAATCTATCATAAATCACTGTCCCAGACATCAGGAAGCGTATTCATAACTTTCTGATATGAAATGCATAACTTCATAACTTTCTATGATGTAGCTTTTAGAGGCATTCAACTCTTTAGGTGTCCGGTTCCTATCACTACTGCTCTGAATAATTCTGACTTAGTCAGTTTCTCTAAAACAGAGCATTCAGCGTTAAACGTGAATGACTTTGTTCATTACTTAGACATTTAATCATGCAGTAATTTAAAAAAAATTGGTGAACTTCCCCTTTAAGTATCGTATTTCAGGAAGTGGAAGCATTATCTCAGGCTCCAGCTGGTCACTAAACAGCCTGTGCTCCTGCTGAGGGTATGGGTCATGTGACTTTCCCGGCAGTGGCAGTCTGGGTTTAATCAGCTGAGCAGGAAAGTGAAACCTAAAGTCGCTACAACTGCCTGTCTTAAACCTCTGTTACCATGACAGTGAGGTCCTCATAAACCCCAATATCAATCTGTGCCAAAGTGCATCTGTGAGATGCAGAAAAAAAAATAGTGAAATGTAATGAAAAAATGCTTTTGTTACACTCTGAGGCTGAGGAATTTCTCTCTCTCTCTCTCCCTCTCTCTCTCTCTCTCTTGCTCTCTCTCTCTCTCTCTCTCTCTCTCTCTGTCTCTGTTTCTCTGAAATTGAGAGTTAAGAGAGAGTGCAATTAATTTGCATGTTACTTTCTGTTCCGTTTTTAACATAACGGACAGCACAGTTCTCATTGGCTGGTTACAGTGAACACAAGGTGGAGAGTGCTATAAACCAACAAGAGGCATATGTATTACTCAGTTGTTCAACAGACTCAAACCGAATATTTCAGTGATCACTCATCTCTGGTAAGTCTGTTGTATTCTACTTTAGTTTTTACCGTACCATTGCTACATGCACTCTAACTGACAGTCTTAATGTGCTTGAGTTTTATTTATGTTACCATTGGCTGAATCTCAAATGGCTCACTACTCCTATTGTAGTGCACTATGTAGGTCATTAAGTAACAGCTTCTGCCTTCAAACAGTGCATCATATGTTTACCAAAGAGCCATCTGGGATTCAGCCATGTGTGTGCAGACCCTCACCTGGACATACAGTGCACTTTTTGCATTTAGAAGCCATAGGTTCATGAACCACAAAGTGTACTGTATAGGGAGTAGGGAGTCATTTGAGATTCAGCTATTGTTTTCTGTGCCATAATAGAGCTTCGCTGTCCATAACAATGTTGTTTTATTTATTTATGACATCGTAAAATTTACTGAATGCTTACCCTCTTAAACCTTAAGCACCTGTATGTGGGTCCACACTTCAATTTCTCACTCTCATAACTACATAATCACTAGCTACTGAGTCATTTATAGTTGTTACTAAATAATATGTCTTAAAATTAATGACAGAACAGTAAGCCTGCTGTAAAGACTTTATAGTGTGGACACCCAGCTTAGGAATAATTATTGCTGATTCATAACTCTAAGCAAGTGAAATTGGATCTTGTTTTGCTACATGTTTGAGAAGGGTGGGAAGTGAACCATGTCAACAGTAATTTGCTCTTCTGTAAAGTGGCAGGGTCAATTAAATTTCTTGGATCTGCCTGTTGGTTCATGGGAGTTGTAGTTCTTGCATGTAGGCCTGGGCGATAGGGTGATGTAATCAGATAGAGGAGTTGGTTGAAGAGAAAGATAATTGATAGAGAACTAGAGAGGAATAATTCAGTTTTAAACAGCTTGCTAGTTAATGTTAAATAACTTGTACATGTATTTTTTTATTTACTTTTACTGTTTAGTTAGATAGAACTATATTGATCCCGAAGGGAAATTGCAGTGTCTCAGTAGCAAGGCATAGTTGCACATAAACGTACATATACTGTGCAGAACATAAAAAATAGAAATAAAAATAGACATAAATCAAAGTATAAGAGAGTAGAAATAAAAGTATATCTGTTTGCATGTTTGCATGGCATATAAGACAGATTTATTGTATTTACATGATAGCAGGCACTAAGTGGTATGAGGTAGTCTAAAAGCACAATGAGTATAGACATAAATAGGAGTTGCAGCAATATTACAGTGTAAATTGCATAGTAAAAGTGTCATTACAGTAACATGATTTATTCCACAGTGAGTATTTACAGGAGAGTTGATATAGTGATGTAGTTCAGCACAGTTCAGGCAGCAGGAGATCAGTTGTTGTAGAGCCTTATAGCTGTGGGTAAGAAAGATCTTACACCGCACTCAGCGCAGCTGTAACAGTCGGCCGCTGAATGTGCTTCTCTGTTTACCCAGTGTAGCATTCAGGGGGTATGAGGTGTTATCCAAGATAGCTAACAGCTTGTTGAGCATCCTTTGTTCAAGATTAAGATAATGCCGTATTGTTCCTGGGTGGTGCAGCTATCTAAGAGCTGGCCCTACCGTTGGGCAATTGTGAGTTTGATCCTCAGCAATTTTTCAGCCATTTGTGAATGGGAGTCCCAGAGAGTGTAATTGGCCGTACTCTTTTCCCTCATCACTCAGCGCAGTGCTAGCCAACAGCGTCGTCTGTGAGCTAACATAACAGAAAAGATATGGTGGCTAAATTCATGTGACGTGGTGGAAGCACAAGGTAGCCTTCACCCTTATTGCTTGGTAGCATTGTGCAAAAGGGTATATTTATACATATATCTTCTATATGACCCCAAAAAGAGTTCCACTATTGTTACAAGCCAAAGAACCCTTTTTTAGTATTATATAAAACCCTTTTTGCTGAGAGTGTATAGCGGTGTGACATACTATCTGAGGAAGATTGTTTCTTTTTGATATTTAATTACCTCACACATTTCCATTTAATCAAATTTAGTAGAATCGGCATATATGGATCTTTCATTTGAATATATAATCCAATTATAGTTAATGTTGACATTTTCAGTTTGTAAATTAGATAACCTCTTGGATTCATTGTTAAGGGTGCACAATTGTGCTTTACTTGTATGAGTTTCTGTTCTGACACTACTGAATGTGAATACTTGCAGATAAAGAGATGGCTAAAACCTGCAAGAACGTCATCCGTCTACTAGAAGATCACCCTGAAGGCATCCCTCTCTCAAAGTTGGCCGTGTTCTACAGTCAGAGGTATCATCGTAACCTGATCGTGGCAGACCTAGGCTTCGACTCCATTCCTGCGTTCATTGCCTCTCTGTCTGACAATCTGGTGGTGCAGGATGGAACAGTCTTCCACAGGACACACAAAACAAAGAACCAGGACTCCGAGGACATGGTGGAGCTGCTTAAAAGCCATCCAGAAGGCATTCCACTCAATAAACTTGCAGTGGCCTTCAATCAGAGATACAAAAGAAACTTCACCCTGTCAGCATTAGGATTCTCCTCGATGGCCACCTTTATTGACTCACTAAGCAAAGAGCTGCATGTGAAGGATAATGTAGTGTACCACAGGAGCCACACCACGCTCCCAGGTAATGACCTCCTCAGTGCAAATGGAATTGTTTAATGACAAACAAATAGCTATTTGCATTGACTGCATCATTTGCTCTTTGTTCCCTTCTGTGCTTACAATCAGTGGCACAGCTCCTGGAATTGCACGCAGTTACCCTGATACTTTTATTGGACCCCTTATATTGCTACTTATGCAATTTTGCACCTATGACTCAGGGTAGATATGATAATGAAATGCTTCAACCATTAGCACAAATTACAGCACTAGCCTGGAGACATAGCGATAGTGAGTAAATAAGCAAATGACATAGTCTTTTCTGTTTTTGTTTACTGAAGATAATTTTCCACTGGGGCCCATAAGATCCTATTTATGACACTGCACTCTCAGCAACACAGAAAATAAAATTGGTTACAAACACTGTTAAGTTATGAGTACAGAGTACAAATATGCCTCTTTGGGAAAGTGACTGTAGTGTACCATTAAAAACTCATTTACGGTGCACAATTTAGGGGGAAAAAGTATACTGTTTTTTGATAGTGGGATTATAAAAGGCCGAATACAGTTCTGTGCAAAGCTTTTAGGAATCTAGAAAGCCGTATTTAAGCTATATTTATATTATATATATTTAATATATTTATATAATATTTAAGCTACTTATCTGAGTAGTAAGTGTGCATTTGCTCAGAAAAACACTAATATTAGAATGAATGCAAGTATTAATACAGTAAGTAGTTGTTTAATGTAAGTCATTAATGTCATAAGTTGTTTTATGTATGTTTGACCATTTTCAAACCTTTGGCAGCAGAGTATTATTTGTAGTCATCTTTATTGGCTCATTAGTACCTTAAATACATTAAATGAAAGCAAATAATGTGATTGCAAATGTGATTAAAATTTTTTTAACAAGCAAAATGCACTTGTTATCCATATTTTTTTTTATTTATTTTAGTGCCTTTGCACAGTACTGTACATGACATTTACATTTTTGTTCCTGTTTTAATACGGTTATTTGATGCTGTCTTTTCCAGGTGCAGACAAAGACAAAATTTCTCAAGATGTTGTGGAATTGGTTAAAGAACACCCACATGGCATTCCCCTCAAGAAACTGGCTATATTCTACGCTCAGAAGTACAAACAGAACCTGATTTTGACAGAGCTTGGCTTCTCCTCAGTTGGCGCTTTCGTTGATTCTTTGTCCAAGGATTTACTTGTGGAAAATGAAAATGTCTTCCACAGAACACACAGGGCAACCCCTGGGCCCTCGGCAGTGTTGAGTAAAACCCCACCTCCTCTGATGTCTACTTTTGGAATCTCCTTTGGTGCTAGTCCTGCACCAAAGGAAGATGACATGACCCACATGGAGCTGCTGGAGAAAGTTAAAGAAGTTATCAAAGTCTACCCAGCGGCTGGAACTTCCATTACACAGCTGCAGAATGGCTACTTTCTCCATTTCGGTGCAGTACTGCCACTGAAGCTGTATATGTCGCTGTACGACAGTCATGCAAACAAACAGAAGGCATCTCCGAGCCAAGCGCTGCTAAATGTACAGCTGGAACCAGGAGGCTCTGCTAGTATGTTAACAGAATCCCCAAAATGAATTGCTTGACCGGTCATGATGTCATCTTCATAATGCCACTTCATGGCTATTTGCTTTCACTCACTGATAGTAACATTGGCATTTTTGACTGAACCACAGAGGCCAAAAGTGATTGTTCAGCAAAAAGATCCAATCAAATTTAAACAATTTCCTCTTACCCCAAATGTCACAGTATGGTCAGCAGTGTCTGGTGTCCGTAGTTTACTTCTTTAGTTTTGCGCTGGAGCTATGAGACTAACGTAGTGAAAGCTAACATAAAAATGGACAAAAGTGCAGACAAAATTCAAACTTCACAATGCCTGCAAACCCTGTTTTTAACATACTTTTGTACATTATTAAGATAACAATACAGTGTCAGAAATCACATTAGAAAGTTTGTTAGATGTTAATTAGCAACTCAACCAAGTTTGGGGTACAGGTGACAACATTTTATTGTTATCTGGATAAGCAGGTTGCTTTTCTTAGCACAGCTTGGATATCACTTGTACTCAAATAACACAGAGAGCATAATTAGTCCTGTTTAAGTGGATTTAATGTGGTGCAATTTGTAAAACACTTGATAAAAATAATTGTATGCAGAGGTTTTGATAGCAGTTTACAAGTGTGGCATTGCTAGTGCATTTTGTCTGTATGTGTCATAGGCCTCTCAGTGTCCATTCTCCTGGCAGAATAGAAATCTGCTGATATTTTTAAGTGATATAATCAAGTAAAATAGTTTTCCTAGTAGCTGTGTTATCAGATTAACTCTGTGTGTGAAATGTTGTGACTCTGTATTGAGCTGCTAGCAAGCAACAAGGTGTGAAATGGAAAGTAATTCTGTTCACATCTCCCCACAATGACGGCTGTTCTGAAATAAAACAGACGGCACAACAATAACTTAAAACTTCCACAGTAAACAAGAACCATTTGAACAAAATGAGGAGGCACTTTAATAAATGTTGACGTGCTTGCTCAGATAAAAAGACAGAAATCCAGTTTGCTTCCATAGGATTTCCATGGAAATATAGTTCATCAGTGTTACTAAAGAAAAAAATGACTAGTGCAAAAAAAAAGAGGTGGAAATTTTATGGCTACTGTGAAAAGGGGTTTCTTGTTAGTTACATTAACCTTGTAGTTCCAGTGCAAAACTGAGAAGAAAAACCTCACCAAGCATATCTTGGCTGATCAACCTGTGGGGTAAGGGAGAAAAACTATAAACTATTGAATTAATGCTACTACTACCTCTGTTACAGTTTTCACTTAAATTGCCCATGTTTCTTTTGACTTTACAGCAACACCAGCAAAGACAGTCACTAGGGTCTCTGTGAGCCCACAGCCTACACTGGTGGCCAACGGGCTGGCTGAAGAAGTGGTCCACTCCAAGACTGGCTCTCCTCTTCGCCAAGTTAAGCCCATTCCTGCTGCTGCTTCTCCAGTCGCTTCTTCCAGTGCGTCGCTGGAGGACTTCCCAGCTCTCGGCACTAGACTGTCCAGATCTGAGCAGAGGAGGCTGAAGGAGAACCTTGAAGCGAGCGCTTTGGTGTTTCACAGTGCCCACCACGCCCAGCTGAGGGAGGTACATGGAGCTAATGTTCGGGCAGTAGAGGCGTTGGAGGAGGAGGAGGAGGAAGGGAGTGTGGGCAGGCGCAGGAGAAGGGTCATGAACCCAGACGATGTGAATAGTCTGGTTGACGATGCCATCCGTGCCATTGCAGTGGAGGGGGAGCATGTCACTGTTGAGAAGGTTCGTGTCTTCATAAACATGCACAAGAGCATACAGAGGCTGTGGAATTTGGCAGTGGCTCTTTAAATACGCTTCAGTCTGCTGCCAGAGAAGTTAGAGTGTGTTGGATGCACTGTGATTTTATTCTGAATGAGTGCATTCAGAGCACAATATGGTAGACACTTATTATTGTTTTGTGTATTCAGAGTAACATTAAAATGCAACTGATGTGTGACATATATTCCCAAAACCCTTCAGAATTTTCAGCTTTGTTAGAGCATGTTTTTACATATGAAATAAATATGACTATAGCACTGAGACATAGCCGTTAGTTGTAAGATCCAACAATAAAGCTCACACTGAGCTGTGTGTCTGATGCACCTTTCTTTCTTTTTTGCCTCCCCCATTAACATGTCAGTGTTTCTGGCACCTCATCATTTGCAAAGTGCTGAAGGTGTCCCCAAATGTTTGGCAGGCAGAGTACTTTAGATCTGTGACTACAGAGTTGAAGTGTTTTGTTTTTAATAGGTGATCAGCAAAGTGTGCACGCTCCTGCAAGTGCCCTCCTTGTACTCGGTGAGAATCGACCCTCACTGGCAGCTGCCTGCTGTGAAAGAATTCAAACGCACCATTAAAGAGATCAATCTCTTCATTCAGGTGAGAAGCATTTCTGCCTGCTGCAGATATGCCATACCACACAGTAATGAACAAAACAATGAATTCCCAAGGACATGAGTTTCCAGTCATTAGAACAGGAGGAGACCTCGAGTAACTACTTACCATACAACTTGCGTTAGAGAGGGATCAACAAAACCTTAAGCTGTATAATGGGCCAGTATGTGGGTCTACACTTCAATTCCTCACTCTCATAACATCATAACTTGCATATTTGTTTCATAGTAAATTCTGAATAGTTTAAAGTAGTTGCTCAATAATACTTTAACACTTTATAACACAGTTTCACAAATAAACATATATTAATACTTAACTAATGCTTTCATCACACTTGAAGTAATACATAGACTAATACTTAACCCATCAGGAAATGTTAATGTTAATAAAGAACTCAAATATATATAACCATTAATGATGGCAATTATTAAGAATTAACATATTGCTAACTCATGCTGTTAATCATTACCATGACTTGATATATTAATTAAGATCTCCCTATAATGCATACTGTGATTGAAGATGATGTAGGTTAACACATCATACAGTAATCATAAAGAAAATCAATGGCTTGCGTGCAACCCTATAGACTGTATATATTTAATTATCTGTAATGAAAGCATTTGCTTTAATAATGTATGAAGTATTAATACATGTTTTTTTGTGGACCAGTATTATGAAGTGCTGCCAATAGTTCTTATAATAATTCCAATAATTCTCTTTTAACAAAGAGTTTGATGTAGTGCGAAAAACATTATTACAGTTTCAAAACATATTAGTCAGTCTCCAGTGTATACAGTCGATATGTTGAAGTTAAGGTGCAGAAACAGGCCATTTTAAATTCAATGTTTTTGTGATGTCATGAAAACACATTTACATATAGCCACCTGTTGAGCCTACAGACGTTTAGCCCTGCCCGTTCACATCGAAGTTATAAGGTGTGTCACAGCCCAGTACAGGGAAGTCAGTCAGAGCAAAAACATGCTTTACATATGTCAGTCTTACAGGCACAGTAATAAAACAGCCTGTTTAATCTTAAGGAACAAAAAGAGTTTAGAATGGTCACAAACTGAATTTCACCTGTTTTTGGTACACAATGGAGTTTAAGAGTTCAATATACATCCCTCTAAAGGAACACCTATGACTAATAATGCAAACTGTATTAACTTTTGTTAAACTTAATAATCTTTTTTGTGTTTGTCTTTTGTTTTTTTTTTGCTCTGTAATGTCAGTCAATAGAGGCAGTCTCTTCTATCTGCACTCTGTATGAGCTGGGTCAGGCTATTGCCAGCCTCAAGAACAAGAAGCGCTTCGAGGAGCTCCACCTAGGCCCTCTCTGCAAGTTCCCGCTAGTACATCGGATGTTCAAAATAGACAGCAGCACGAAAGATGACGATATACAGCAGATCGAAACTGTGGATATTCTTAGGGTGAGGTGTTTTGGCGCTTGATAGCATTTTAGTCAGCATGTAGCACAGGTCTGGAATGAGATTGGACTTGAACAAAAGCCAAGCTACTCGCTCAGGTAGGGCTGAACGATTTGGGAAAAGTATCTAATCGTGATTTTTTGGGCCAGTATTGCAACTGCGATTTAAATTGTGATTATTTTACTGTAAATGGCTAAGAGGACCAGCATATATACTTTTTCTGGCTTAAGGTGTGAACACTGAGCATAGTGTGGCAGACTGCCTGTTAGTTGTGGTTGTGCAGGGGTGCACGTGGGTGTTTGGTTGTTTTTGACTGGTCTAATCTATCTACAGGCAGTTCACAACTTTTCGACTTAATCCTTGTTAAGGCAATGTTCTTGATAATGTAGGCTATTTTGAATATTGCAGCTCTTGTGATTTATAAATTGCACTCTTTCAAAATGTATTTTTGATACAACAGCAAATAATCTTTCAGCCCTACACTTATGTCATTATGTAATTATGCATTAGAAATGTGTTCTCTGTAGGGGATGTGTACTTGTTTTTGCTTACAAAATCAACAAAATATTTTGACAATTCTACCGAATTTGTTCAAACTGCGGTCCCAGAATAAAAACAAATAAATGAATTAGTATTTAGACCTTAGATATTTACAAGAAATATGTTATGATCTATTTAAACCCAGTGCATTAATTGAGTAATAAACTATATCTACATTTATAGGGTACTTTGTACTAGGAGGTGTCTGTCCTAAACCGTAAACCCTTGTGAAATAACAACTTTTTTTTTCTTCAGTGTTGTTTTTTAAGAGATATTATTCTTTTGAGGTGATGTTTAAAGATATAAATCTATCATATGTATTTGAATAAATAACAAAAAATCAACAAGAACAAAAAACTTCAAGAGATTCCATTTTATTCATCATTTCCATATATTATATTATATTATGTCAACACAACTTCTGAAAGTAACTAAGCTGAAAGACAAATAATGTTGTTGTGATATTTTATTCATATAGCAATTATGCACACGTCTGAATCAAGTAAATCCAGTGCAACATGTTGTTCAGTGCAGCCTAAAAGACCCACATAGCAGACCACATATATATTTCTGTTTATTTATGTCCTGCATCTAATTCATTTCTGCTTTCTATAGAGTCTGCGTAACTTCAGGAGAAATCGGAACAGAACTAAGGTAGACCTCGCCGAGTTCATGCAGTACCTTGCAGACCAGTATAACTGTGAATCACCTTATGAACTAGGTGTCAGGATCCAGAGTGTTGGGCTGCCCATATCGGTAAGTCATTAAATTATAAGCAAGGCCCATTGAGTTAGCATACATGCACTAGAAAGCCATGATTGGTGTCCCTCCATTGGTTTCTCCTCTTGTTTTTTTTCTTTAGACGTTGGCAAAAGCATATAACTGTGAGAACGCCTGCATGGACAAAGCAAGAGAGGTCATTCAGAAGGAGATTGAAGAGGACGTGCAGGCCAGACTGTTTAAAATCAAAAAGAGCCTGCTGGAGCCAGCCCAGGGAGCACCACTCTACTCCTCCGCTGGCAACCTGGAGCTCAGGAAGAAGTATGCCAATCTGACCGCTGCTGAGGCTGTCATGGAGGTCTTCACCAACTCCATGGGCATTTTTAATAACAGGATGACCAAGGTGAACAGCTTCTCCTTTAGCTAGAGAGGGGAATAGGTTAGATTCTGTATTACTAGTTCTTCAAGGCTTGTTTTTTTTAGCTCTCTAGTAAGCTCTGTAGAGTACTGTAGACTTTTCGGCTGAGTAGAGGTTTTATGCGGGTCATACAATCCAGTGCGTATGGTTGCATGTGGTGTCGCAAGTATAATACATATAGTGCAAGGCAGTGTAGAATGAAAGCTTACTGTGTTATTCTCATATGTGACTTTAATCAATAGCCACACTGGAGTGATATAGTCTGACCTCTAGAGTGATGTTATATCAGCTTGACAGATTAGATGCTCATTATGTTTGACATTCAAGGTTAAGGTTTAGGTCAGTTTGTATTGACCTTAAGGGCTTATTTATTACCCCACTGTCCCATTCTGGCCTAATTTTCTTGCAAGAATGAGTTTTCGCCAGGCTGAAGTCTCTGTTGCCTGCAAGATGGGTGGGTGTCCGCTTGTCAGGGATTTGGGTGTGTTGAAAAAAATTGTCGTAACAAGCCTGCTTTTTATTTCATGCTTTATTTTGCCATGAAAGGCTCTGCTGTAATTCCTTTAAGCTTCTGGTAAGGATGTAAGTGGGTGGCAGGCGAGCAGCGGAGAGGGATCAGAACATCCTTGCCTCGTTAATATGATGCCACGCTTGTAATCTATTAATCCGGGCCAGAACTCGTAGAAAGGTCATTAACCAGCTCCTCTTACACCCTCAGCGTTCAGGCTTTTCCTCTTTGAACTTCTGAAGATGTTGTGACTCCCCTTTTAACTGTAGGGCTTATCGTGTTACTGGGTAATTTCTTGCAATACATCAAATAGAACACATGAGCATGTCCTTTCCATGCTGCCTTAGCTTTGATCAGATAGATTGAATGCTAATAAGTGTGTTAAATAGATTAAATCTTTCCTGATTATCATTTTCATGAGACCCGTTTGTGCTGTTCAGAGTGAGTGTGTCTGTGTGGAGGTGTGCTTTGGTTACATATGTCTATAATGTTTAATGCTTTGTTCTCTTTATATTATTATATATTATTTGACCGCTATACAAAACATGTGCAAGACTGCATACATACAGGCCTTACAGGCATTATATGTATATCAGATTCGACATTTACGTCAGGTCACAACTTCAAAATGAAGAAGAAAAACACCTGCTCCCACATAAACAAACTTTTTTTTCAAACTTAAAATCCACATGAATGTATGTACATGCAAGTTTTGCCTATAAATCTGTTATGTGTTTTAATTTCTCTGTCTGTTCTGTCTGTCTAACCTGCTGTCTGTGTGTCTGTCTGTCCCATCTGTTTGCTGTCTCTTCTTGTTGTTGTCGTTACTATTGTTAGGGGTCCAAGCATCGAAGGTGCTGGATTCCTATTGTCTTTGCTGAGATTTACATAAATTATTTTTGTTGTTTTTTTCCCTAAAAGAAATTGTGCAGACCAAACTGTAAAGCCTGAAACTTGGGTGCAAGACTTGGTCAATATGTAGCACTCCCTCATGCTGCACATGCAAATGAGATTTTCCTGATTAGCCTGAAGGAGGTGCTACAGCATAGTGTTTTACATTTTGGCCCATACCTTGTACACCATGAGGCTTACAAACATCTGAGTGCTGCTGGTTTGAAACTAGAATCAGATTATCCACAAGAATCTGAACCTGCCACATACCAATCATTCTGGATCTGAGCATTGTTGACTAAAACACTTGTAACTCAGTAATGCCTTGTTTGATTCTAATTAAACTTGATAGGCCTGCATCTCAGAAGATTCTTCAAAAAGCAAAAGCCTGTCAATTTTGGTGCATATATGTCAATAGGGGGCGCCATAAAAACTAAGAGGCTGTTTATTAGCATCGGTACATCCTATCAGTCTGAAATTTTGCATGCTACATCTTTGAGTTCTCTCATAAGAAGGTTTTTAAAGATGACCTGACAATTAGATAACATCATAGTTGCCACATAATAATTAATTAATGCAACTTTGCCAATTTTAATTAAATTTCTGAAACTTTCTGAAATTTCTGAAACTCCAAACTTATATGAATTGAGATTCAGTTGAGGCATGTACATAGCTTTACCACTACCTGTAATACATCACATTGTATCTGCTCTACTGTAAAGAAACTGTGAAGTGATATGGAATAACAATAAAATAAAGAAAAAGGGGGGGAAAAAAATGAATGTTATTGTCCCCAAAGGAGTGGTGGTGGTGGATATATGCAAAAAAAGACCTTACAAGCATTAAAAACCTTCAAGGATAAAAACACAATAAAGTGTTATATTTATGTGTCTTTTTTCTGCATCTTCAGCGGGTTCAGGACTTCCTTGTGTATGTATCAGGAGACCGGCTGGCCCGGACTCTTTTTCAGTTGGCTATCTGCGGCGGCTCCCTTGCTGTCCCGAGCGACCTGGTCCCGAAGGAGAAACCCCAAAAACCAAGCCAGGAAAAGAAACCATCTGAGGAGATGACCAGTGAAGCACCCCCTACTGAAGGTGTCTGTTTTTCATTTTCACTGTCTGTCCTGCTTAGAGAATTTACAAAGTTATTGTTGTCCAGTTGACTGCTGGCCTTTAAACGCAATTTATACTCTACAACATTTTGATCAAATGGAAAAAATAACGAAAACTTTCAAACATTACAAAATTTGGCAAAAAATAAAGGATGTACGTACGTGCAACAGAAACTTTTATTAAATTCATAATAACATGTCGATGTTGCTAAACAACTTGTTTCCATTGTTTCAGCTGCAGTGAAGCAGTACTTCCAGGAATGTATGTCCAGCTTCATCGGCACAGTCACTCTGCCTTACCTCTGCAGACTGGAGAAAAAGGTGGTAGAGCATTTTAAGTTCAAGGAGTTCCGCCAGCTGCAGCAGGGCTCCTTTCTAGAGTTCCTGCTCAAAAACACGCAGGCAAGTACAGACAATCCCTTTATTAACATTTTGGGGTGTGAGTCACTCGTGGTCTGGAGGAATAAGAGGTTGTTTTTATTGTGTAGGTCCTGTGGTCTTCTTATGATTTGCATGCAAAAAAAGTTAAAAACTTTTGAGTTTAGTACAAAAGGCAACAGTGAGAAAACAATAATAAATAAACAGCCTGGAAATATACTGAAGCTAAGTGTGATTAAGTGTGCTGCTGTCAGAACAAAACCTTGTATCTCCATTTTTGTCGTTTTTAGTTTTTGACATAATATGAAAATACCTGTTGCCCTTTACATTGTGTGTAAATTTCACGATGAATGGACCAAAACGTCCCAGAATGACTTGGAAAAAAGTCTGGTTCCACTGACTTACATTGCAAGTATGTTTTTTCTTCTCCAGTAAAGTTAAGGTTTTGGAGATTTGAGGTTTTGTTCTGACAGCAGCGAAATATAACTACGTAGATTAAAGAAAAAGAATGAATAAATAAATAAAACATAAAAAGTGTCTTCTGTGGTATAAAGAGTATGTTTTGTCTAAATAACGATTTCACAGTTTTCTTTTCTAGACATTGATCTATGTACATGAGCTCGAAGGAACACTAATTTTCCATATGATCAAAGTACCACACTTTGTGAGATCTTTTTTTGTGGAACCATTTCATTATGTATCCGACTTTATCCATTTTCACAACAGTGAGGACTTTTATTTAATCCATAAAAGAAAAGTTTTTTATGTACATGTTTGTTGCATATTGCATTCTCTCAGTTTTTCTCAATTGTAGTTTTAAGTTCAATAAACTCAATTCCAATAACTTAACTGTTTTGTGTTAAAACAACCACTTTTATTTCTTTACAGTGTATTAACATGATAACAGTCATTTATTTGTGGTTTCTGTCTGCAGATGCTACAGGACGCTACAGGTGGCATTGTGGCTATCAGCAACCAGGACATCCGAGCATGTGGCTTCAGACCCAACCAGCAGGATGTGTATGAGTTTATTAAACAGTGCGGGGAGGCAGACCCTTCACGAGTGAGTCTTAGATGTCCGGATAGTACGTTGCGTCTTCTGTAGTTAGATGATAGAAGTGCTACATCTCTGATGATGAACTGAGACGTTTATGCTACATGTAACACTAACAGTGAATCAAGGTGACATACACTGTCTGTGAAAAGTTTGGGGACACTTTGCTGTTTATAATGTTTGATTTTCACTGTTAATTTTCAATTAAACAAGAGTTTGTCATAGTGTGAAAACATTGTTAAAGTTTCAAAACATACCATTCTTTCCCCAGTCCATATGGTCCATGTGTGGACAGTGATCTGCAAAAACAGCTGTTTTGAATTCACAGTTTCTGTGATGTCAAAAACCAGTGCATTTACATATATCCTCCTATTCAGCCTACAGCGGTTTAGCTTTACCAATTCACACTGAAGTTATGAGAAGCGTTTCAGCCTGGACTACTTTTTAAATGAGGCAAAGAGCTCATGTACATATCAGTCTTAAAGGCACAGGAGTAATAAAAGCCTGTTCAATTCTAAGGGATAAAGAGAGGTTGAAAAATGCTCATGTATAAATGAATTTATACCGACTGTCTGCTATGTGAAACCACACAAACAAACCTCAGACTAAAAATAAAATACAAGAAAATATAGGATATTGGGCCTTCATTTCATACCAACAAAAAATGCTAATTTGTATCAAAAACGTTTTGTCCCCAAACTTTTCATGTGCAGAGAGAGTTGCTAAACTCTCAGTTCACGTCTTGTCCCTGTGCTGTGTTTGAGCAGCTCCCATTCATCGAGGCTGCGCTGAGGAGTCAGTACAGGATCAGAGACAGTAGAGAGCTGGGCTATGGGCATCTCCGCACCCTTCTGGACTTCGCCAAGCGCCAGAGGGAGCTGAGTGGGGGGGTCATCAGCAGTGCCATCCGCTACGAGTGCCCTCTGCTGCCTAAAGACCCAGGGTAAGGTTCTATCTCCTCACGCACTCCACGCACAGGTGTGCCTCTGCACAACACTTATAACAGTTTGAGCAGGCCTGCGTATGATTCACTTCATGGATTAGGTTTGACTATGTCACTCCAGTTTGTACTGTAAACAAACCTACCTGAGCTGTTGACAATCCTTATCTTAAGGTATTACTATCCTTTTTAATGCTCTTTAAATATAAGTTTGCAATTACTAGGGCTGACAAATGATTAAAATAATTAATCACAATTAATCACACATTAATTTTGTGTAGGTGATTGTGATTATTATGTCTTATTTTTTTTACGATACAGAATTTTTTTACATGTACAATGCATTGCATTGAGTTGGAGTCATCTAAGTGAAGAAAATAAGCTTTGTCAGAATGTGTTTACTGTCAGTTTTTCAATAATATTATTTTCATTACATAAACTAAGTGTTCGCATGAATCTCAACACGTGATTTCCATAGGGTGAATGCAGTAACCATTTTTTGTCACCAGTGTCCAGTGAGAGCAACAGTGGGTACATGTTCCAACCAAAGAGTGTACATTGAGCATTCTACTGAATTAGTTCAAACTGCAGTTTCACAGTAAAAATACTATTTAAAAAACAATAAAGAACAATATATGTTCAAAAAATGCTTTCTCATGTTTTCATGTCACTACCGAAACGCAAAGAGTTTTAGTCTGTAGGGGGAGCCTTATTTTAGTCAAACCCTTGCAAGTGAGACTGCATGCGTCCCAATGTGTCCCAAAGTCTGAAAATCAGTCTGTAACCTTAAGAATTGTCACTACAGATATAACATATTTTTTAGCTATTAGTAAATCTGTTTGTGTTTTGTTAAAAAATAATTATTTTATGTATGTACCATTGTTCAAAGCTGTGTTTACTAGTCATGTACTAGCTAGTGATTTTGAGTTATGCTCAAAATTAGCTAAAATTACTGAAACAATCACTACCCAAACATTTTAGCAAAGTTTCAGTAGTGTTATGATTGTTTTGTCAGTAATAAAATTGAAGTGTTCAATCGTTTGTTTTAATAAACATAATTAAGGCGTAAGGTCACTCAAGGTGAAAGGATAATACGTACAGTAAATGTGTATGTCTATGTACAGTCAGTGGCTCCATCTTCTCCACAGTTGTAGCTCTCTCGATCTCATTCTCATTCATACAGCATGTGGAATCATGTTACGCTGAAGGCCGTGTAGGTTTCTGCTTTTCTGACGCTTTTGTTAGTTTAATGCTTGTTGATTTACCCGTAGCTCTTCCATGAGCACTGTCCAGTGTAGCAATGTGTTTGCTTGTAAATGATACTTCAAGGTCAACGTACTTCCTTTCTAAACAAATTTAAAACATTGCAGTTGACCCTTTTCATACTTACTAATTTCATGCAACAGAAGTCGTAGTAGGGAAAACATTACAGCAGTGGCGGCGTTTACACATGAGAATGTAGAGGAGCAGTGTTCAGTACCTGTTTTTTCCCTGAAAGATGTTGTTCATTTGGTGTCTGCATTAAAAATAGGCTACTGACACCTGCTGCTTCTGCACTTCACAGGCAAGTGGTACAGATAAAAAAAATAACAGAAACAGTTTGTGAACACGAGAGAGAATGTGTGGCATTATCTGTATTTAAAATAAGGACTAGTGGTGTTACCCTAGTTAGCTAACATTAGATAGGTGAGCCAGTGAACTGTGTGAACTTGCCTGCAGTGCTGTGTGTGGCAGTGTGGTTTTGACAATTTTCTGTAGTTAAGGTTAGTGATATTACTGCTCAGACGCTAAAGTAATAAAACATTAGCTTGCACAGGAATGCTGACTACAACCTGGCTATTTACAACACTGGACACTGTACAGCACAATAACAACATTAAACTGACTATGTTAACTTTTGTCCCAACCAGCATAGCATTGAATACATTCTAATTATTGAAGAAATGCCTTTCAAACTTGCTCCTTTCTGAAAATAAACACTGTTCCATCAATCAAACAAACGAGTCCTCTTGATTCTCATTTTTAAACTGCTGTAGTGTTTTTCCTACTATATTGACTTCCACTGTGTCAAATACGGAGGTGTGAAAACGGTCTACAGCTGTAAGTAATCATTAGTATCAAAAGAGCCATTAATGAAGCTGTAATTAAATGAAAGGACTATGAGTGTGGAGGGCAGCAGTGCATGAACAGCTGGGCTTCAGCATGGAGTGCTACAGATGGTTTAAAGGGTCACTTCAGGATGAGGAGTTAATGTCCTTAAAGATATTTTTTGGCATTAATAATTGATTGTAGTAATTTAATGCATGATTAAAGCATTAATTCTCACACCACTAGTAATTACATAACTTGTTACGTAAACATAATTGTGTTTGCAGTTGATTTACATTCTGTATCAACAAGTTTGAAGCTGCGCTTCTGACTTTTTAAAAATATAGCAAAATATACAATTTTAGAAGAGCATCTTCTCTTTAGATTCAAATCATAATGAAACATCTCAACTTTAACCCTTGTACACAAAATTTAGAATGTTTTGACAAAATTTCTCCTCTTCTTTCAGTGACCTTAACAATTGCTATCAAATTACGCTGAGCTTTTGTTATCGCCAGCAATGACAGGGTTGAAGAAGTTAATTTGCCTGAGCCAGAGCCAAAAGTAGAACAAAGCTGGGTTTATTGTAGAAGCTCTAGGGATTCTGTGTTCTTTGGCAGTGTGTCTGATCTGTGTGTGCATGTGTGTATGTCCTCTGTGTCACCTCAGGGACGGGTTGGGAGAGACTGTGGGCTTGCTGGGGGAGTTGAGCCGTGAACAGGCCATAGCAAGCCTGCTGACCGCTCCGCTCCTGCAGGATCTGAGAGAGTGGAGCCAGTGGGAGCTGGTGTTCCAGCCCAATCATGGACCACTCAAAGACTTTATCGACAAATACTGCGGTATGATACCTCAGCTACACAGCTACGAGACTGAGCAAGGCTGTTAATCCTTAGAAATCCTTAGTTATTACTGTCAATTTTCCATACAGTCAATTTATAATGCAAAACTAGTTTACATTTAATTTGCATCTACATTTCCAGCTTTTTTATACGTCAAAATGGCAAAAACATAGCAAAAATGTTTGTATTTAACAGCCAAATGTTCCTATTTTATATAATGACAGTGTGCTAAATGCATCATAACCAATCAGAAAATAGACACATCACATACAGTTTATTATAAATTGATCTGATTTATCATTAAGTTTACAAACTTAACAACTTAATCACAAACGTCAAACATCAGAATATTCTAACCCAAACTGCGTTACAATAGTGATAAGACAAAAAGTGTATTAATAATAATCACATGATTTAGAAAGTGGAAGTCTAAGTCTAAGGATGGTCTTTGTCTGACGCAGGAAACACAGACCTGCTAGCTTTGGAAGTTTCTCCTGGAGTGCTGTTGAGGATCACCTCAGCCACCAGTGATAAACTGTTCTCTGAAGCAGCTGAGGCCCTGGACCCTGTTGGTACAGCCGGCCACTTGGTCTCCATTGTGGTGGCTGATGGGATTTCTAACACCCCCACAGCTCTGCTGGCCAATCACATGGAGGATTCACTGGCAAAGGCAGTTGCACAAGAAGGTAGGAGCTAGTGTCACCACACTGTCTCCAGCGCTGCCATGAGAAACTGGTGTTAATTGGGTTGGTCATGTGGGTCCATGTTCACTTGTGGTTGTTGCTTCTTGTTTGATTTTGCATTTGACACAGTGACCAAATTGATTGTAGGCAGAAGAAATGTAAAGCGTTTGTTTGCAAACTTCAGAAAGGGTAAAGCCATTCAAATAATACATCCTTTTGTGAAACAGCGCACTTCTCTGGGAAAACAGACTAGATGATAGCTTGATCAGTGGCATGCAGATGCCTGCGGTGCAAAACAGACTCGTTGGAGACAGGAGAACTGTTCTTATTCAGACTGCCCCAGGCAATAAGACTGACACAGCGAGTTTAAAATCTTCTTGATTATACAGAATCTAAAAAAGGTCATAAATCCTTTAACTGATCAAAGTTAGCCAAAGAAGTTGTTTTCATTTTTAAGAAGAACTGTTTCCTCAGCTCATTTGCACCATTCACAGTCAGCACCAGCAACCTCTTCTAAGTAAAAATAAGTTAACACATCCTCTACAGGCAATGAACTTAAACCTGGCATTTTTCTACTTATTTAAGTGCACACTCTATTTAATTACTGAGTGTTACATATCAGAAAAAACATAAAATATAATTTTTGCACAGGCCAAATTTTATGTTCAATTATTTTTTCCAATGTGTTAAATTCAGCAAATAAAGAGTCATTTGCAGTAAAATATATAGAATTGTGTTCTCTGTATTTGCAACGATGGGCATCCAAACAAACATATACAACTGTATACGTATACGTAACTTATATCAGTAGTTATTTTTTCGTTGTACTTCAAAAATATTACAGTTATTATTGATTAATCAATGTGATCCGTAAGTGTAGATTTGTTTTTGCTTGGTTCTTGGATTTACATTTCATGAAAAACATAAATTATCAGAGCAAAGCAAATAAATAAAAACATATAATAATAATAACAATAATAATAATAGTAATAACAAAATTGATTATAACAGTATTTGTAATAACACTAATGATAATATGAAGAAGCACAGAAACTTAAAAATAATCTATTGGGTAATTAAAATAAAATGTCTTGAGCTTTTCTTATTATTATAGAACATTTAACATAGAATAAAAAGACGAAAATATTCAGTAGTTGTTACCCTAATTAATACACAATATTGTAAAATGCTGCACTCATATGGGCTTATTTCTCTCTTTGAAATCCTCAGGATCATCAGTGAAAATATGCAGTGTCAAACCTGATCATTTTAGCACTAATAAGTAAAGATTTATCATTTTTGTATTGCTTTACTATTCAAACATGATTGCATAATTACATTCTTAATTACATAGTAAGTTACACAACTAATTGTAACTAATCTACATTGGATTCTGTATCAACTTCAGCTTTGACTCTACACTTCTGACTTTTTTCGTTTGTTTTGATGTTAGAAAATTACAAAAACATGGCAAGTTTGCAAAGGACTGTTTTTCTTACCAGGAACAGAACTGTACACACAACTTTAAATCAGTAGTCAAATTCAAATTATAATAAAACAGTTTAGAATCTGCACGTTCAACAGATTTTCTTGCTTGTTTGAATTAGCAACAAATAAGGAACAACATGAAATGTTTTTTGTTATCATTAGTTACTTCTAAGGGTTAATATCTTGTCTGAATCTTGTTTCTCTTAACAGATTTATACTGTGATGAAAATGGTTCCTTCAGCACCGCGGCCAAGTTTGTGCTTGAGTGCATATCTCGGATGCCTGCAAGAATCTGCAAAGAGCTCCTGCAGCAGGTGAGGTTCAGAAATCTCTGTGTGTAATAAAAAGGGTTTTCATATGCGGAGGCATGCTGTGACTTTTAAAGATTTAACAAGGGTGTGTTACCCTCACTTTGGGAGGCCGAAATTGTCACTGAGAAAATATTTGGGAATCTTATAAACCCTCTTGGGGAATGAATGCTGTCCATGATACATAGTTATAATACTGTAAAGAAGAGTGAAACACAAAGAACAGGTGGGTGGGTGAATCTTCAGGGAGAAAAAAGAAAGAACAGTAACTAGGTTGTTGGCATGACAACCCTTGCCAAGTGTCAGTGAGCTGGTTGCATTCTTGGCAGGGTCAGAAGATCACTTTCCTGTCAGACCATTAGCCCGCTGCCTGGGGAGCTGCTTTTCCACTCTCATTAGACAACTTCCATAGCTGCACTTAGCGTGAGATTAAAGTCTGAGGCATCACTCCTTTTCTCTGCTGGCTGACTAATTTAATGCATGATTTCTCACTTGTGCACCACACCATTACCTCACTATATATTTAAGCCCAATTTCAACTCATCTTTTATTTCTCTCCTTTCTTTTTATCATGTAGGTGTTTCTGGAGCCTCTGTCTAAAGTGATTGGCCAAGCCAAGTCTAAAACAATCCTCCTGGATGCAGCCAAGTCTGAGACAAGGTACCTTAACAAGCTCCATCAGATGGGCATTTTGCTGGGCATCACTGAGTGGGCGAGGAACTTCCACACCAAGCTCATCTTACCAACACCACCTGAGGTGCCCTCTCACACAGCCAAGGTATGGAGACCCCCGTCATTACACTGAATCAGTTTGTTCTAGAGCAGGACAAAATATCACTTGTCAACTTGTTAACTTTTGTCAACTCAAGTGACACAGGTTTTTGCTGACATTAGGTTGTGTCACGATACTTGCTGGTGTGAAATGACATAGCAGGAAATGACAGCTGACTTAGTGGCATTCTGTTTTTTTCACAGTTCCTCTCCTCTTTCTAATACTGTCCTTTTTACATATAATTCTTAAAACACTATCCTTGACATTTTAAGCCTGACAAAATGGCCTGAAGCCATCCTACATCAATGTAGTTTTTCAGTAATAATTGAATATTGTGAACGGTAAAGCAATTTCTTATAGCAGCACCACCAAGAGAGGAAGGAAAGATGTGACTCCATTGCACAAACTGCACTTTTTACTTAAGAGACAAATAAAATTAAATGTACATAACACATTTCAGCATTTTAGCATTACTATTAGGATAGCAAAATGAAACTCACTCTACTTAAGGGCCAGAGGGGAAAATATATATATATATATATATATGTGTATGTGTGTCTGTGTGTGTGTATATATATATATATATATATATATATATATATATATATATATATACACACACACATATATATATATATATACATAAATAAATAAATAAATATACTGTTACTACAGTCATTACAGAGTCATGACATTGCCACACTGATTTATAAAGATCTTATAAGAGTAAATGTAACTCTCACTTAAACTTACTTAAAAGGTGAGTTGCAGCGATTGTTCTAAATTTCTCCACAATGGGCAAACACCCTTCACTGTACCAGTAAGAGTCCTTGGGCAAGACTCCTAACACCACTGCCTTTGCCTACCTGTGTAAAATCATCAAATTGTGATTTGCTCTGGATAACAGCATCTGCCAAATGCCATTAATGAAAATGTTATATTTCCATTGTCTGATGCCAAAGACATTGTTCTATGATAGTTTTAAGATAAACTTTTGGGCTGTGATATACTTTTCAAAATCTATTAATGGCGGAGAGGTTATACGGTATGCAGGATGTGTGTGGTCCCCAAATACTTTTTTTTTGTTTTTTTCAGATTTACCACTGTTTCTACTTCATAAGGTCTTATAAGAGTAAATATGGTACCCACTTTACTTAGAGGTCAGATAAAATATACATAACTCTGTCATTACAGTGTCATCGCATTGTAATAGGGCTTCATAAAGATCTTAGGAACACAAATACAACACTCATGTAGGGGCCAGAAAAAATATATAAATAATTCTGTAATTACAGTGTCATGACATTGCTATAGGGCCTGAAAGATAGGTGTAATGTTAATATGACATTAACATTGATGGAAGCAGCCTTTGTGGCAACTGCTGCTTATCGGCTTAAGCCTTTATAAATGTTTATATAGGTTTATGTCAGTTGTCAAGTTATCATGTCTGTTAAAAAAATAGTGTTTTAACTTGACTCGAACCTTTAATTTATTTCAAAAGTATTACATATTAGAATATGAAGTAACCAGAATATAAAGTTACCAGAACAAGAGTCTTGCATTTTACGCTCTGTCAGCAGACTGTTTGAAGTTCAGTTCATTTAAAATTTTAAGGCAGTGATCTTCAAAGTTTTAATGCCACTTTTTTATAGTGTAATTTGCGTCACAGGCTACTTTTTTGAACAAGAAAACACAAAAAAATAAGTAACACGTAAGTCATGTCTTACTCTGATTGAAGAAAATAGTAACAATCTCTTACTCATGCGAGCTGCACTCCAAATCAACAGTGCATCCAAAAATTAATGCCAAAGCTTGAGCTATTCACTGCAGCATTATATGCTGCAAGGACATTAATAAAACAATACAAATGATTGCGAGCACACCTGTGCATTAATATTTGTCTTTACACACAGTGTTTTATTCCCAAATGTGAGTACTGTAAAGCAGCTAAGCAGCAGAAAAGCTAACTTTGTTAGTTGACTGATCTGAACATTATAATGTTATATGACATTATTTACTGTTAGACATCGTATCAAAGTAAGTGTTAGAAAATACAGTAACCCAAAAAGAGTTTAGATTATCTAAGAGCCAGCATAAAGGCCACTGCACACATCACATAGCAGATACAGTATGAAGCTCTAATATACTACAAGGAATGTGTTGCGGTGAGAGTACCAGTAAATGTCAAGTTCAAGTTCATTTTTACACTCTGCTGGTGTGAATTTAATTAAATAAAACATTTTTCAACATTATTGTTGAAACACGCTTGGCATCAGGTTACTGCCTCTTCACTTCTGAACAAAAAGAGCTAACAAGACTAGGCTAGCTACATTGACTGGGGTAATGTGCCATGTCTGTTTATTTAAAAAACTGACTCCCTTTTTCTGTGTGAATTTCCAGCCGCATGTGATCTGTTATTCCTTTCTGTGGTGCTGAGTGGTGTACTATGTTCTAGGAGTGCTCAGAGTTGGCACATGTCATCACTGGTATGCGTGGCGTCATTAAAAAAACAATGATTTAGAATTTTTATTCGCTGCGAAAATCCCCACTAAAAAATGTCCTCCAGGTTTTTCAAATACTAGAGGGCCCTCCCGATAGAGTCCAAAATGAATGGGTTTCTATGGAGCTTTTGTGCAAAATAGAAAAAGTTTATAAATGCTTAATCAATTTTGTATGTATGTATATTCTGAACATGGAACAGCATTAAATATTTGAACATTGTTGTCATATTTTTGAGTGATTTTGAAGTTGCCACATAAATGGATAGAATCATGTGATCTTTTGTTTTTAGCTGTTTGGCTCCATTCTTCCCATTCCTTAAGAACTCACTCTCAGGTGCCCCCAAAACACAGGCGTTTTTCAGTCATGTTTTTGGTATAATAGGAGAAATAGGAAGTGGCCAGGCTTCCCTTAAACTGGCTTTGGCAGCGGGGTGCTGTGCCTGTTAGTAGTTTTGTTAATTACCATGAGTGTGGTCCTCCATATAGTTTAATTGCAAACTTTTCCAGCTTCAGGAATTAAGTAGAAACAGCATGTTTCTGAATTACAAGCTCCACTAAAGCACTTTTACACCTCTCTTACCCTAATAATCCTAATTTACTGCCATCGCCACTCTCACTACAAACATGTGGGTGCTAAGATTTATACATTTTGTCTCTTACATTCTTGTCATTTTTATTTTCTTTATTATGTTTTATTTTTTCCTTGTAGAGTACTTTGTAAACTAAACGTTCATGATTATACTGTGAAACACTGCATGTCTCATGATTAACATGTTTTTCACTGAATGTTTTTAATTCAGCACAAAGCATATTGCAATTACAAATGTAGCATTATAATTGCAGAGTAGTTCATGTCATCCAGCTCTAGACTGAGGTTTGAAAGTGCTGTATATCTCTGCAGAGCGCAGCAGCCGACTCTCTGAGTGACAGGTCATCGTCATTGTTAAGTCTGGCTGACAGTGAGGATTTGTTGGAGGACTCTGTGCTCAGTGCTGTCTCTACCTCTGGCTGCTCCAGCCCTGCTAAAGCTCCTCAGCAAGGTGAGCTTTACAGCCAGTGTTTCTGGATTGTTTAGCCCTTCATATCAGGTTTTTGTAGCCAGCATGTTGAGATGTATGTAACTAAATCCACCTTTAGTGTCCATGTGTTGATATTTAACTCATGGTCTCTGTACATACAGGTATTAATGACAGTGCCAGGAGTGACGATCATGATGATGAAGATGATGAGGGTGATGATGAAGATCTGTTTGAGTTGGCATCTGTGCAGAATGAGGAGGCCCACAGCAGTGCAGAGAGTAAAGGGGAGGATGAAGAGGATGAAGCTGTAGAAGAGTCTCCTGATCAGACTGAAGGAGCTGAAACTAATGAGCGCTTAAGTCAGTGCAGGGCCATCGTCGAGGACATCAGGTTCATCCACCTCTCACTGTCTTTGTGTTTTAACTCCCTCCATCAAAGCTACATACACTCAGAGCTTTGCGAGTAGACTTTTCACGTTGATTTGTTTCACTTTGTGTACAAGATTTCCTTTTGTTTGAAATTTTTTGATTGCTACTATAAAACATTCCTGAAAAACCTCGACGAGAACCATTTATAACTAGAGCTACAAAGATTAGTAAACAAAATTGACATCAAAAGTTGTCAATATGGATGATTTTTTTAACACATAATTTACTATAAAAAAAAATTAAAAAAAATCATACACAATCTTAGGCAAAGGTGTGGACACCCATGATCATTTTCTAAGTATCTGTGTAAAAATTATTATTTTATGACTAGTATAGCATAATCTAGGCTTTCTGATTCATAGGGTTGGATGTAGCTATTTGAACACATGGATATCCAAACTCATCTTAGTATTTGTAAATCTTTCTTCAGCTATCTGAAAAAATACAGTTAAATAAACTCGGCATTATTTTGTCATTCTTACAAAGGATTTGGTCAGTATGTGCAACCTAGAACTGCAGTGAATGCATGTAACTTATATGTTTGCACTCACAAGCTGCATGCACGTTAAATAGAATGTCATTCCCTCTGTAAGTTTAGTTTAACTAGCTCACCGCTGACCAGCTCCAATAACCAATAACTCAGATAGCTAATAGGTAACTCGCTCCATCAGTAACATTGAAAGTAAGGCTTTAAGTTGAAATATTTTTTTTGAAGTATTTACTAAAAAACTGCATAACAAAGTAAAGAACGAAGAAGAAACTTTTTTGTTGGCTGGCCAAAGATGGGTTCTCTTTCAGCAAAACTAGACTGTACACAAAACACCTTCTCATCTGATTTAAATCATTTTTTTTCTGCTCTTGTATTTACAAACCATATGTAGCATCACTCACAAGTTTACAGTGCTTTCAACAGAATTCTTCCACTTGTTTCAATGAGCTACCAGTGAGAAGCGACTAACATAAAATAACATGAATTTGTTATTGTTGCAATAACTGTGACTTCTAAGGGTAGAAGGGAGATTCTATCATTTTTTTCAAAATGTTTGTATTATTCAGTGGTTAAGATGTAAACAATGTCATTCATAGTGGTTTGATGTGAAACGCTCTGTTCTAGAGAAACTTACCACTTCAGAATTGTTCACAGTGTTGGTGACAGGAACCAAACGTCCTAGATAAGTATTTATCAGAGAAAGTTATTACATGAAATTTCTGATGCCTGAGGCATTGTTTTATGATAATTCTGAGATACGCTTTTGGCCTAACATATTTTTAAGTACAGTTGTGGCAAAGAGGTACCTGCAGGGCATCATAAGGCAAAATAGTCAAAGAAAACTTGTTTTTTCAGATTCACCACTATGTTTACCATTATCAACACTACTTATAAATGCATAGAAGATGTGTATTCACTGGCCATTTTTTGAGTAGACATTGTGACACTTGGTTGCCATCAACACCATTGTAAAGAAATCTGAATCAGAATTCACTCTGAATTAATTCACTCACATCTCGATTGAATTATGCAGAAATTTTGAATCGCAGTTTAGAAGTGAGCAATGTTATATAACTCTTTTTCTTCTGTCCTGTTCTCTGCAGGAAGAGTGAGTTTGGTATTGGAGTGGAGCTGAATGAAGAGGGTCAGAACCTGATGAGAAAACACCAGGCCAGGCTGGGCCGCAGTTTGGAGCGCCTCTCCACTGAACTCTACAGCAAAGACACACACTTTGTGCTGGAGCTCATTCAGGTCACTGCCCTCGACTGCTGGAACACTCACAGTTCTTGGCAGGAGCTGTCACATTATATTGTTTTTAATATGTGATGAGAGTGTACTATCAAGTCTTTTCTCACCTCCCTTTTCCTACCTACCATCTGATATGCAGTACTTACAATGGAAACAAGTCATATGACTTAATTGTTTTATCCTGAGTTATTATGCTATATCTTCGTTTGGTATCTTGCATTGTAATCACTCAACCAATGAACTGATCAGTTAATCAATCAATCAAAGTAGTGTCTGTAATCAGTTTTGTTTGTGTGCAGAATGCAGATGATAACAGTTACCCGCAGGATGACACTGAGCAGCCCGCTCTGGCTTTTGTGGTTCAGAGAGACTGCATCACCATCCTGAACAATGAGTGCGGCTTTGAGGAGAAGAACGTGCGAGCCATCTGTGATGTGGGCAAGAGCACCAAGGGAAAACACATCTGTGGCTACATAGGTAAGCAACATACCTGTGCTACACTTCGGGGCAGATTTACTAAGAGAGGTGCTAATTACTGACCGTCTGCCAACACTTTGCGGCCAGTTGAGTGGGTTATCTATAAGAAAGTCCATGCACATGGACACAGGCGCAACTTCTTCATTAATGCTGTATTAGCATCATGAGTAATTATTTTGAGAAAATAAGACATTAATTCATCAGAAATTCAAGGAAGTTAAGTAATTTTTTACTCACTGTTTTAAAACAGTTCTGTGCCAAGAACGTTTGGAAATCATGTGAAATTGTAAAATCCCTGTAAAATTTCACTGTGCATTCTCAGGTTGTTTGAAATTTACGAAATATGATTTTCAGTGAAAACTTGACAGTGACATTTCTGCCCAGCGCACAGATAAACCACTGCACGCAGAAGCTGCAGCACAGAAGTAACAAAGTAACTAGTAGTTTTAGTAAAGCAGGGATTGCAGAGCCAACGATTTCCAATACGCTTGGAAAAGATAATTGTTATTATTTTGTATTTATTATAGCAAAACTTGCTCTGTGATAGTGCAGATATTGAATATTAGGAAATAGCAGTTTAAAACATTGTTTTTCTAAAACTGTTTGCTTTATTGTTTTATCTTCTTCATCAAATTAGGAATAGTGTGGCATAGCAAGTGTTTTTTTTCCCCATCAAAAATAAATAAATGTGTTTGAAAAGCTTTCTCTTTTCTCTCTGAGCACAAACAATGGCAGCCATTGTAGCATTAAAACTAAACTAAAGACAAACTTTTTACAGGCGGTAAACAAAGCACAGCCAGTATTTAATACCAGTTTTGAGTAGGTGCTTTGTGGTTATCTCCTCTCAGGATTTTGTGCTTTGAAAGAGAAACTCATATAAATGCATATGCAATAAGGCTAAAACGCAGAACAGCAGAGACCACCTGTTTCTTCTTTTTGTAGATGCTGAACGACGACGTTGTGCCTGTTTAGTAAATTGCGATAGTCAAAATGAATAAATGCAATGCAGAATGTTAGTAAATTTGCCCCATAGTGTTCAAGTGGTCATGTGGTCAAAATATAGAAACACAAGTGGCCTCACAATTATCCCTGTATCTACTGCACAAAAGTTATAAAACGCTTGTCATATTAAATATTTGCGTTTATATATTGTTCATATAAACTAGATTTTTTAGGTTTGGTTGTTCATATAAACTAGATTTTAGGTTTGGTTGTTTTATTTCATGAATTCTAAGTTATTATATACTGTACGCTCTATACTATAAATATCTATTTTCATATGATATATTTTTGTGAAGCCCAACTTGAAATGTGATCACCACTTTTCAAATATGAGGCTTTCTTGATTCCAATTCTCAATGTCCTACAGCTCTCTCAGTCTTTTCTCAGCTCCATTTGTCCTTCTGGACACATCTAACATTTCTGCATTTCCTAGCTTCCTGCTAGTTAATTGTAAACTATGAATCTACACCCACCTAGCATATTAGAATTATTTGCACACATATTTGCAACCAAATTGGTTTTATGTTGTAAAAAAAACATTGATTTCAAATGTTTTAAGTATGATATCAAACATTTATACAGTGATTCAAAACAGTAGTATGAGTTTGTTGAATTTCTTAGGGGAGAAGTTCTGATCTGGGAGCAAGACTTGCTTTAAAATGTCTAGTACTTTCTTCTTTGTCTCAGATTTTTTTATTGACACTCATGTACCCTCGCTGTTCCTGTTTTTTTTTTTTTCTTTTCTCAACACAGGGCAGAAAGGTATTGGCTTCAAATCGGTTTTCAAAGTCACAGATTGTCCCGAGATCCACTCCAACGACTTCCACATCCAATTCGACAAGGCCAGTGGCCCCATGGGATACATTCTGCCTCACTGGGTGGAGGAGGAGAGGCACTTGCACTGTGTTGCCAAGGAGATAGCTGAGAAGAGGTGAGAAAAAAGAAAGTTCTTCTTTATTGAAAAACAGGATAGTGCAACGTGTGCTCTGACCATGTTCACACACAGTTTATTAAAGCTTAAAAGGTACAGTTTATTAGATACACCTACATTGTACCGTCACTCACTGGCCATTTTTTAGAAAACACCTATCATATAAATGCATAATATAATACACACACACACACACACATACACATACATCATATATATATATATATATATATATATATATATATATATATATATATATATATATATATATGATGAAGCTGATGTTCCTGGTATAAAACATGGCATCTGAAACTATTTTCTTTTCCAGTTTGCTAAGTATCTTCTCAGAAACATTCTGTAATTTATTATGAGAGCCTTCTGTAATTTTCATTGCAGTTTTTAATAAATTTCTCCCTTCAGCTGTACAATAAGCTTACCAAACCAGGTGGAGATACCATAACAAAAAAATGTGCTTGCTTCTATCCATATTAGTCATAAACCGGTGTTTTACTGTTACATTCCACTTGCACCTGTGCAAAAGTAGGAATATTTGTCTTTGATAGACTAATCCCTTGTACTTTCCTTGTAGCTGGACCACTAAGATTTTTCTGCCTCTACGATCAGAGAACTACCAGACCAAGAACCTCTTCCATGATGTGCACCCTTCACTCTTGCTCTTCCTCCACCGCTTACGCTCCATCACCATCTATAACGAGGTGAGTTTGTTTAGGGTTGCTGTCTCCATTTAATTTAATCTTTAGAGTAAATTTATAATGCCTTGGCCAGTTCCTTGAGTCCTAAGGCTAAACCGTGAGGGTTTACCACTAGGGCTGCATGTATTATTTGTTTAATAATTGTTGCAGTATTCGTCTTTAAAATTATGCAATAAACAAATTAACCTTTACATTTCTAACAGTCACATTTTTTCACTGTATGCTTTGAATATCCCAGACATTTCAGATGTTCTTTGGATGTTTGGAAGAATCAAGGAAACTGAAAGGAAATTGAAAACATAAATCATTTTGGTCGAAGTAATGTAGGCCAGTCTTTACTCTCGTCTCACCCTTTGTTCACCAGTATATTTTAATGTCCTCGCTGTTGGAATAAAACCTCATGTCTAAAAAAAAAAATTATCTTTATAGGAGAAAGGATTATTATTATTATTATTATTATTATTATTATTATTTGGGTTTAGGGATTATTTAAGTAACCCAACCCAGTGTGTACTTTCTGTTTTGTTTTTTTGTATGTGTGTGTGTTTTTCAAGAAGGTTATTGCTAAAGCTGGAGTGCCACTTTTCTATTGGTCCATTTGTCGTGAAACACACAGTGTAAAGAAAATCAGGCATTTTAAATGGTGTAGAAAAATATGGAGTTTCCTGTGACAAGGACAAAATACATATGCAAAAGTTTAGCCAGCCCAGTGAAATTATGTTTTATTGTTTTTGAGAAGTAAGAATAGGTGCACATACTCTAGAAGGAAAACACGTCTGCAATTTTAAATGCAAAGTAACAGTTTGTTTGCTGAAGTTAACATATTTGAAAAAAATATATGTTGCCTGTGCAAAAGTTATGGTGCATTTTATAGTTAATATTTCATCTTTTTCTAAGATGTTCTCAGAACTTATCAAAAAAACAGGAATTGTGTCATACTTAAACTCGTTCCCCGTAGAGGACGTTAACTTATTGTCTTTTTGAAAATCAATAAAACATAATTTGACTAGGGGTATTCAAACTTTTCCAAATGACTGTATAGCATATATTCAAAGCACAATGTGTAGCAGTATAAACACAATATGGAAACATCCACTGCAAACATTAACAAATTAAAACTAAGAGAAAAAAGCCTCAAGTTATGTGTTTTCTTTGTGTGTCAGGCTGAAAAGCGACTGGTTTCCATGACTCGAAGAGATCTGAGCCACAACATACTGGAAGTGGACCACACAGGTGGTGTGGAGCGTTGGCTGGTGGTGAAGAAAATGCTTTACCCTAAGAAGGTTAGCCAGCTAGCCTTACACATAGACTTACACAATCCCCACTTACTGCCTCCACTTATTACTTCATGCATAACTAACAGGAGTCTGTCTGAGCTGTGTTTAGGTTTGAGTCTGTGTTCCTGCTGAGTTTTCCTGGCCCACTTTCCCCCTTCCTTAATTGGCTTTTATTCAGGCTTTTAAAAAATGCATCTTTTCAACCTGCTGTTTTTACTGCGCAGCGTTTCGCCGCTGTCTGTGTTGCGTAAGTATTCTACAGCTCGCACCCCAGGGACACAAAAACGCTTCTTCTTCTCATCTCATTCAAGTGACATGCAAGCGGGGCTTAACAAGGTGAACTGAATTCATTTCCTTTGCCTCAAGAACTTTCAGGATGCTCACAGACAGGCGGTGTACCTGCTGTTTCCTTCCTTGATGCATCTGGTTTTCCTATTCTCTTTGCGATCTTTATCTTTCCTCTATCATTGTTCTTTCCCCCTTGTCAGGAACGCAGGTGGTGGGAAAGGCTATGAGCCCTCGCTGAAAGTGATTTTAGAATTTCTTTGTTTCGATTTTACTGACTTGTTTTGCTCCTTCACTCTTCCCAGTGTGTTGATTCTGTGTTTCTGCTCTGCATTTGCAAAGGTCTTACTGTAGGCTGAAGTAGGCTGAATGCTGTCCCTCTGTGTGCTTATAGATTAAAGAGGATGTGGAGTCCACGGAACTTGCCCTTGCCTTCCAGCTCAGTGATGGCTTTGCCTGTGATGTGAAGGTGCAGCCTCCGAAGCAGCCCGTCTTTGCCTTCCTACCTCTGCGAAGCTTCGGCTTCCGCTTCATCGTCCAAGGTTCATGTTCACTCTCTCTTTGAGGCTGTTTATGCTGGTCAAATCATGTATCTCATATCTGGATGAAACCAGATAAACTTTATCCACATTCAGTGTAGATGCATCTCTGATGTGCTTGCATGCAAACACAAGGAATTCTTTTCCATCTCCTAGGATGACGCCATGCATGCAGCTGCATTTTATAAGAGCTAAATGGAGAAATGATGTAAAAGACTATGCAGCTTTTTTTCATTAGTGATTCATTTTCAGTAATGAAAATGTGTTCTGTTTGGAAGGAGTAGCGGTTACAAAAGCAGCTGAAGAAATAGAGACAGATACAGTTGGCTCAGGTGTGCTCCAGCCAAACCATTTCCTGAGTGATCAGATTGCAAGCTATTTATCATATTTTTATTTTCCATAGCAACAAAATGAATGTGAACCGGTCCATTTTCATTCCTTGTGTTGAGGCAAATGCATGTAAAAAAACAAAGCAGAAAACTTATTTGTTGAGACAATAATAAATGTTGTTTGGTGTTAAGAAAACAGCAAAGGTTTTAAATAGAGTCGGGTGGAATAATGGTAATAAGGCATACCATGGTATTTAAAAAATGACATGACAGATTTCTGTTCTACGTCTGAATGTCCAAATACACATTACACCCATTTATATTCACTGATTGGTGGTGTGGGAGCTCACTGATAGGTGAGGTTGATAGAAAAAGGGAAAAATCTTGCTTAAACATGTAAAAAAACACAGAAAAACTAAGCATGGTAGTAGCTCAATGATGGCTAGGAGCTACACACACCTCAGAACACGTTCAGTTTAAACTTTCACTCTAACACAAATCATTTGACTTTGCATGCTTTGCCAAAATGCTACAGCCCCAAACACCACAGAGCAGGTTTGATTTCAGCTTTCTGTCCCTCCAACACCAGTCATGACTTTTGCTCTTGCAGATACTAGTTTTTTCTCATCAACATTTTTTTCAGCAGAGCAGCAGTCAGTGGCTTGTGGCACTGTTTGATTCTGTAACCTGTTAGCTAACTTTAAGTTAGCCAATCAAGCTACAGATCCAAACACCACAGAACAAGTTTAATTATGTCTCCTGTCCCTTCAGTGCCAGTTGCTTCACTTCACTCCCTCATGTGTAAATCGTTATCATCTAAAGTTGTGTGGGTGCTGTAGTTAGCCAGAATCCAATCTGTTCTGTGGTGAGCAGAGCTATTATCCTGCTAGCTAAGCTAAGCTAGTAAGCTAATGCTAACTACCTTCTTTCTCCCACTCTTTAATGTTTAGTAATTGTTAGACCAGTGATGTTATGTATTGAATAATACATAAATTTTGGTGACTATGTAAGTGAACTAAACATATTTATTAAAAACAGTTAAATTGTATATCGCAAATACAGATATGGCAATTAGTCATCAACTGAAATGTCATGGTAGTCAAGAGCCAATCCCAATTTACCCCTACAACTTAGCCCTTACCCCTCTGTTTTACGTGTTCATATCTAGGGGTAGGGTGTCCCGATTTTAATTGAGATAGAGGGGTAGGGCGAAGTGTAGGGCTACATGGCCCTCCAAACGGAGGTTTTTCAGAGACACACTTCAAATGGAGTGTTAAGAGAAAAAAGAAAAACCAGCAAGGTGGCTGCACGGGCCACCAAAGAAACCTACAAATTTTCTCCTTTAAAAAGATCATGATAACCATTGTATTGTCTTAGTTTAATGTCGTTTCAGTGTATTATGGTTCTTTTCTTCATAACAAGCATAAAAAATCACCATTAGTACGCTGATGTCTCAGTAGCTAGCTAGCTAAATTTCCCGTTCCACCTTAAATGGTGCAGCAGTTATGTTCTGGCACCTAATCACCAAAGAATTAGGGGTGGGCAATAATAAATAATTGTCATAACCCCCCTCTTTGAAGGCTTGTGATTCTCTAAATTTATCTAAAGACCAGCAGCGAGGCTGCCGAACTTTACCCTCCACTGCTATCACTGCAGACTGGCAGGGTCGCCTGCAGAGCACTGCTAGTAGCTGTTAATGAAGTAATGTGTTGTTGTTGTTGGTTTTTGTTTTTTGTTGTCCCATTTCGTAGGGGACGATTTCAACCACTTCCTCTTGTAACTCAGTTCCAAAGGGGAAGGTGACACTCGAAAACAAGGGGTAAAAATAAGACATGTGATTGAGCCCCAGTATAAATAGGCTCTCTCATTATCTGCTGATGCTGATGCAGGTGTAGTACTGAGCACATCCTTTGTTTATCAAAATAATTTCAGCATAGCGGTTTATATTGAATTAAATGCATGGATTCTGTTTTTCTTCAAGTTTTTGGTAAACACAGGGCAATGTGGACATACCGTTCGTAGGAGATCATTGATATAAATGAGAGGAAAAATCAAAAGTGTCTAAAGTAGTTGCTTTCTCACCTTTTTCCTACAGGAGATTTTGACATTCCTTCTTCCAGAGAAGATGTTGATAGGGACAGTTCTTGGAATCAGTGGCTTCGTTCTGAGATCCCTCAGCTCTTCCTGCAGGCCATGGAGGTCTTCACTGTAAGCAAACAATGGCATATGATGTAGATGCAAATGAATCACTATTCTACAGATTTATAGTGCAACCAGTACATGATTGGACAGTGTTTGCAAATAGAACTGATGCTGCCAGCCCTAATTAGTTCACAGACAAGAGAACTAACAGCAGTTTCAGAACTGATTGTAGATGTGACATTTGCTTTTGCAGTTGCAGTTGTCTCTAAACATGAGGACCAAAAAGTGACAGTGCCAATAAAGCAAGCCATCATGAGGCTGAAAAATCAAAATAAATCAGATACATATACGCAAGAGTTTGAATTCTACACTGTAAACTCCAATGTTGAATTTTATGAATTTATTAAGAAAACACACAGTTGTATGCAAAAGTTTGGGTGCTCAGTTCAAGTTACATGTTTTCTACGTGAAATTAAGAATATGTCCTCTACAGAGGACACATTTCTGCACATTATAATGCACAATCACTGTTTATTTGCTTAATTAAACATACTTGGACAAAGGTCTTGTGCAAAACTTACGGCACTTCTTATATTTTGTGTTTTTTTTCCCAGTATTTTAAACTCAGCAAAAACAAATAGAAATTGTGCACTGAAATTTGCAGAAACATGTCATATTTAAGTGTGTCCTTTGTAGAGGATGTATTAACTTATTTTCACTTAGTAAATCAAGAAAACATGTTATTTTACTAGGAGGGTTCAGACTTTTATGTATGACTGTATGTAGTTAAACTGAAGTGAACACATTGATTGTTTCCTTTTGAAGTTCACACAACTAGTAACTTTTGATTTAGTGGAGTTTTGGAGTATTTTTCTTATTCTTTATCATCTCTCCTCAAATAAAGTTCATTTTGAAAGTGAAGTTTAGATACATTGTACATGTTTTGTAATTTTAACCATGAGGGTGTTATATGTTTAAATTTACCAGCTCAGCCTGTATTGCTAGAATAAAAGTAAACAGTTGGTTGTGGCCTCTGAACAGCTTCTGATTTAGATCATTACGTGTACACTAGTGGAGCAGTCCATTAATCTGTGTTCTTTGATACCGGTGTTCCTGTAGTGCTGTCATCAGTCGTATGTCCGTTCGTGACATGAAACTTTTGATGCATTGAGTTTTCACAAAATATTTAAGATATTTTGATTTGAACATCAGTTACCTTACTCATTTTGAAAATTATTCTGAATTGAAGAAGTATGAATTTGAGTGTAATTGTAAAGCTTGTCCTGATAACTTCATCTTATACTAATACACATCTGTGTTTGAAACATTACAGAAACACCCAGAGTTCAGTGGGCTGCGTGGACTCTGCCACTTCCTGCAGTTCATCCCTCAGCCCAGTGAAATCCTGGACTTCTTCAACCCTGTAGCTAATCAGATCATCCAGCTACTGAAGGGTAAAGCCTTCCTGCCCGCCAAGGAGGACAGCGGTGAGTCTTCTTCACTCTAACACTGCACCATCTCCAGGCTTACGTATATTTGTGTTTTTAGCATTTCTCTTGCTGCTGCATGTGCTGGGTCAGCATGTTAATCCTAAAGGGCATCTTCACTCACTAATAACACCTGGACTTTTCAGAGGGCAGAGTGGAGTTCAGGCTACCTTCCCAGGTGGCTGTGTGTCAGGACCCTCTGATCCAGGAGGTGATTGCAGGAGAGGAGCTGTGTAAGCACCTGAACCTGTCCTACTTGCACCCCACGCTGCAGTCGACTCTGTCCCAATCCCTCGTCACAGCTCTGGGCATCCACCGGCTGAGGGCCCCTGAGATCACCACTGTCATCTGCGCCATGGCCAGGAGCCTCGCGCAACATGGAGATCTTCAGTCAGGTAGAACTGCTTGTTGGAGTTTTGGGTCACTTTCCATTTTTGGCAGGTATTTTATTAGTCTTGCATAACTACAATACATATAGATAACAGAATCTTGTAACTTTTGATGCGGGACTGTGGCAAAATCCACCGCAGACAGGTGTGTACCCACGTCTAAAACCTGCCCTCAAGTTCTTCTGGTCTGTGAACTTCTAACATCCAGAGTACAGTTGATAATACAGGCAAAAACAAGCTAGCTAGGGAAATGTTATTCTTAGGTAATGGGGTGTGGCTGTGTTTTTTTCTATTGCAAGGGGTACTGTTTATTTTTACTCCACGTAATGTGTCCTCTTTGCATGTGATACACATCTACATGGTTGATTGAAATTTTTTGGGGGAGCTTTCAGCTGTGATAGCTTCCCTCACATTGACAAGCTTGTTGCCCATTGGACAGTGTCAATGAGCGCAACGTCACCAACTTACTTTGAGCGCTGCTTTCAGAAAATGTTGGATTGGTTTAGAAATTTCACTTTCACAGGTTTTACCTAAATTGTGATATGACAGCTTTTTTTCCAAAATATTGTTAAAGGACTTGTTTTACAAAAAATCAAATTTGCGTGATTTTCCACTTATCCCAAATGCAATCAAACAGCCAAGACATGTTTGGTGTCAGAATTTTACATATGTAGTGTGGAACTTCAGCTGCTAGGTTAACTGTGCTAACAAAGGCTGCAAGTAAATAGTCAGCAAAAACTAGTTCAACAGATACTTTATGTATTTGCTTCAAATTATGTCAATAAGCTACATAAACTTGTTTAGAAAAAAAATTAACATGGCATGGACGCACCATATTTACACGTTTAAGTTAAAATTGGAACTACATTATCATCATATGGAGGACCAGATTTGCCAAATTAAAAAAATAAATAAATTAAAAATAAATGACTTATAAATATAAATGACTAAATTAATATATGAAGTTGAGTTGCAAAGAATAATGATGATGAATCTAAAAATAAATATACATAACAATTAATATATTAATAAATACAAATCTTATATGAATTAATGTGTGCATTTATTTATATGTCTATTTAGTAATTTCCCCTTCTCACTAATTTTTGTATTTATTTTTTTGTTATTTATGTTTCTTTATTAACATTTTTTCTGTTTTTCTATTAATATTTTTTATTAATTTTAACTATTAATTTCTATATTTATTTATTTCTCTGTTTATTTCTGTATTTCCTTGTCCTTATGCTAATAAAGTGGCTGTCAGTCAATGATGTCACAGCGTCTTAATATTCCTATTGGTTGATCAGTGTCAGATTCTGTAGATCGATTGTTCATATCTGGCTCTCTCAGCGGTAACTAAGGACAAGACAGTACAGTAATGGCTTCTTACAGGCTGCAGACAATCAGAGATCTGAGAGTCTCAGCTGATCTGGCTGAAAATGCAGGTCCGGATCATTGACTCTTTCGTTGGAGGCTGTGGAGGACAGTTTGCTCCATTTAGCTGATCTGCTGATACAGAGGTCGATCTGTAGTGTTCAGAACTTTGGAGGAGGTGGTCCATCGTCTTTTTCTGTAAAATTCAGATCACCCAGACATTTGGACGCCCTTCTCACACACTGCCTGTGGAAGCCATCGAAAGTTATTTATCTGCAGGTTTGTCTGTCCGTGACACTGCAGCTCTTTATGGAGTGAAAGAACAGTTTTATCAGCTCTTCTCCTCCTGGGCTTTATTGCTAAGCCTGAACGTGAAAAACACGCCCCCCATTATCATATGAACAACAAAATACAGAAAAATATAAATGAATTAATGAAAAAATAAATAAATAAATGAATATATGCATCAATGAATGAAGCTAACAATTGTTAGAAATATAGATATGGAAAAAATATAAAAATGGCATTAATAAAACAAAATAAATAATACAGAAATAAATAAATTGAGAAATATATAACCGCAGAAAAAGGAAATATGTGTATAATTACAATCACAATAAGCAATATATACATTATTTAGGTTTTTTATTTATTGATTAATTTACTGAGCCTTTTATTTTTTAATTGTATTTATTCTTCAATTTGGCAAATCTGATCCTCCATATCATCAATGTAACATCTTGCTTTCTGGTACTTTTTTGCCTTCAAACTCTAGGAGGATGTCGTGCAGGAGTGTGTTGTAAAACGTCACTATGCAAGTACATAGTGTTAGCACTGGAAAACGCTTCTCTTTTCTCCAAATTTACATGGAGAAAATTATGTAAATTATATTTTTTGCTATTCCCTTAAAAGCCCATAGTGAAAGCTTTTGGCCCAAAGCTGTTTCAAACAAGCTAAAGGTCTGGGTTTGACATTATTAGCAATTAGTAATTGCTAATTAGTTAGAATAAAAGGTCCAATAAAAGGCCATTGTAGGTTAAAGTATATTCCTATTCATCATGTATTTTCCTAGATAAAAAGGTATTTTGTGAGAAAACCTAAAAACAATCAAAGATTTTTTGTCTTTGTTAATTTATGTTGCAACAACAGTATTGAGAAATCATGTTCTTTATAGAGAAGAGTAGGTTAAATGGCAGAAATGGCCACTTTTTGTGTTTGTGTTGAAAGGTTTATATTAGACAAAGACAGACTGCTCATTTGCATGAAAAACATCTTGAAAAGCTAGGTGTCAAACTTGATGGGCAGTGTATGTTTGTAATTTAAATGTACTCCCACAGTGTTGCATGAGTGGGTGATTATTACAGGACTGTGACTCATGAGGGTTTTATTCAGCCCTCACCGCGCCTTCATCATTAGATCACTCTCTTTTCTTTTCCAGACTCTGGCCTGAAGAAACTGGCCAAGCTGCTGGCGTGTAATTTCCGTGCTCTGGAATTGGGTTATGGGGAGGTGGATGATCTGTTGCAGACCCTTAGAGATGTTCCTATGGTCCCTCTGGCAGACGGTCGTGTGGTGGCACTCAGTGCAGAGGGTGTGTTCTTTCCTCTCAGTGACAAGAAGAAGACTTACACAGGTATGATAAAACATTCTCTAAGACACATTTTCACTCAGCTCAGGCTTCCTCATTTACATCAGTAGTTCCTGCAGGGTGTGGAAGTCAGAAGGGCTGCTTTGTTTCCTGTCTGGCTTTACTGTCGTCCTTTCAGTCAGACAGCCTCTGTCTGGCCCGTCTGCAGAGAGAGACGCTTCCTCCTCATTTCGAGCACCTCTCCTGAATAAATGCAGTGAGGCACTGGGGGCACTAGTAGTGCAAAACACCACCTGCGTCATTGCTTTCACTGAATTGCAGGAGAACAGTTTTTTTTTAATGGAACATAAGCCATGAATAAAGCATTCATCTGCTCTTTGAAAGGTTTAGTGCTACATATTTGTACATGCTTCAACTTCAGCACCATCAGAATCAAGATTTTTCTATATTCAGTAAGCACAAGATGTGTAAGAATGTACAATTGTGTCAACGTGAATTAAATTCAACAGGGAAGTATTTAGCTTTCAGTTGTTCAAAGAAATCTGCATTTTTGCCTCAAAAGTTCAATCTTAAAAGTTGGTTACATTTTCTCCTTCTCACAATCCAAGTAAACCAAACACATTGATATGGGACCCTGGGGTAACGTGGGGAAGGAGAACGGCAGAGGCAGGTGTGGAGACGCAGTGTACTGTTTACTTAATAACATAAATCAAAGCAGTCAAACATGAGGTTTGAGCCTTTCGCTCCCTGCAGACATAAAGACTGTCAGCTTTCAGTCCCTTCCGAATTGACTTGCCTCTGTGCCTTGTGGCTCCTCCTCTCTCTGGTCTTTTGACCCCTACTGAGTGAAAAAGAAGCGTATTAGTAGGCACAGAGACAACTACACACAGGTGGATGTCAAGACTAATCAGTCCACTGTCCCACTGAAATCAACTCTACGCCCCACAGACGGCGCTTGACTACGGCCCCGCTGGCACAGTTGAGGTCTGGACTCTGGGGTGGTCAGTCCATTGTTCTGAGAGCACCAGCCGCTTCTTTGTTTGATTTACAAATTTTCTTCTTTTTTTCTTTTTACTTCTTTTTCTTTATTGCGTTTTCTCGGTAACAGCTTCCCAACATGTACACATTGTTCCAGACTCATAGTGTTGAGTTGTCTTCTCACAGTGGATGGATGGACAGAAACACAGATATTTTCAGCTCCAAAGCAAAAGAGGAGCTTTTTTTTCTCCTTTCTCTCAGAGATGAAAGCTTGAAATATTGTTTAGTGACAGTTTTGGTACTTAATAGCTGTTTTGACTGGAAATAAAAAAAGAAAAAAAAGGCTAATTTTTAAAAAACGTCTAAGACTTTTTCAGATTGTTATGTATAGTTAATTTGTTTATAATACATTAACATGAAAAATTATTAATGCTACAAATTTTAGTTTGACTCTTTGAACCATTGGTAGGTTTACCCCTAAACCAGCTGCTGGCTCACTGTATGTTGCTGTGACTAACTCTGTGACTGTAGCCCTCTTGTTTAAATATAGATTTAAAATGGCAAGTGTCATTGATGACTTGCTTGATAAAAAGTTATTTCCAGCTACTTCACTGCCGCAAATTGGTGTATTACTAAAGTACAATGCAGCAGTCTACACTGGACATCATTCTTGCAGAGGAGTAATGAATTAAAAAAATGAGCAGCAAACTAACAAAAGCAAAAGCAAAGTGGAAAGCTGTAGTTCCCATAGGGTTCGCTGAATGAGAACGAGAGGAATGAAGGAGCTACAAATACAGCAACAAACATACAATGAGTGTATAGTGTTACGTTATAAATATCAAAGCTACATATGTGCGTCAACTTAAAGGAATTTCTCTTGGTACAGGTAGTTTTATAAAATTTAATTTATAATTGAATTAATTTAGATACATAAAATACTTAATATACATGTATATTCATACTGAAGTTATAAAGTACATACATACAGTATATATGGCATGTCTGTTATGCAGAAGGGAGGAGAGAATGCTCACGTTTGCTCGATACATGTGTATTAACTTATGCACCTGCTTGCAGAATGAGTTTGGTTCTCATATCTGTGAAATAAGCCACGAGAGACTGTGCTGGTGCGAAAAAACCAAAGTAGGTTCTATAGAAGAACGCTAGCCCTGCGTGTCGGGAGAAGCTGGGGAGCTTGGCTTGAAGCGGAGGTCGGATGAATTAAACATCAGCGTTGGGGTCTAAAAAGATCAGACAAGCGCCAGAGGAAGTGGGTCATAGTCACTCATGTGCACTAAAAAACATGCACGCTCACTAGGGATTGGAATGGTCATTGGAATACATAGATTTGCAAGCTTGTAATAGTATTTGCCAGGTATTTAAGAAAAAACAAGTGTTTTTTGAAATAAAAAATTAAACAAATCATGTATAATACTGTAATTTTAAGTACATTTTATACATGAGATGTTGGGACCCAAGCAGCTAATGTTTCCTCTCATGATAAGTGCAGTGGCAGCAAACCTGTGTATCGTCACTGTCAGGAGATCTTCATAACTACAATTTTAAAACAACCCTTATAAAAAGTTGATGAATGATTTTAAATTAGTTTTTTAAATATTTTTTTTATTAGGTGATGAACACCTTACAAAGAACTAATGCAATTAAATAGCATGAATAAACAGGGCAGCAGTGACCTGTTGCTCGCAAAATAGTGAGCCCACATTCATCTATACTTTTAAAGTTCAGATCTTGCTGGTTACTCATCTTGCCTTGCTTCTACATAAATCAGCATTATGCTGCCAGCTTCATCAGATATCAGATATTCACCATATATAACAGCTCACTATTGCCCTTTTTATTTATGTGTCATACATATTGCACACATTGCTTCTTAATGATTTTTAAACCATTTGTAAACCCTTTATAAGGTTAGTCTTATTGTAAAGTGCTGCCTTTTTCTTTTTTTAGTGCCATTTGAGAATAGCAGATGCCCTGTGCATTGTGTGAACATTTCATGATGAATAGGCTAATAAAAATGGGCAAAAATGACTCAGATTTGTTGCGCTAACATGCCTCAAAGTTAAGAACATTTATTTATTCTCCTATTAAGTTTCTATTTCAGAGATACATGATTTCGTTACAACAGCGATATAGATATATTTAACAAAAAGAAGAAAAATTTGAACAGCATAAGTTGTACCTCATTCGAGAGATTTGTAAGCTGTTCAAAAACACAAATATTAAAATAGACAAAATGGTTAAAACTCTCATGTCAACACTCACACCTCTCTGTTTGCTCTGCCCTGCTGCAGGTCTGGAAGCTCTGTATAAAGATTTGAGCATTGTGGAGCCGCGGCTGCTGTCCTGTCTGGATGAACTGGGGAACTCACAGGTGCGCGAGCTGCTCCGCCGACTGCAGGTGCATGAACTGGAGCCGCAGCAGGTGCTGCAGCAGCACATCTACCCCGCCCTGAAGAGCACAGCCTGGAAGGTCAGAACACATCCTGGACATTCTGTAGTTGTCCTCATGTTGAAAGATGTTGCAGAAGCAGAAAGTACGGTTCTCATTCTCATCCTGAGTGATTTTCAGAAAATACTGAGTTGGACTGTCAGTGGTTCCATACTTTCATTGCTCAAACTCATTACTACATAACCTGCATGTTAGTTTAATAGTTGTTATTTTTATATATTTTATATATAATTTCTTTATATTACCGATAACGGTTCTTTTTAAAGGCCTTTGCTGATGAAATGTGTTGTAGTTTAGGCTGCAGTTTGACTTGAAAAAAGATGAAGCTTGCAAATACTAAATAAAGAATCCAATATCAACACTCTTAAAAAGATATGTGCCAAATAGTGATGCCATGTAGGAACCATGTGTTTCCCTTTAAGAGCCTTTCGGCGGACGGTCCTTTAGAGAACCATTTTTGAAAATAAGATGTGTGAGTGTGAAGAACCTTTTAAAAAGTACAAGGAACCTAGGAAGGGTTTTAGGAAGAACATTTGTATTGGTATAGAACCTTTATATTATGTGAAGGTTCTTCACACTCACAAATCACTTTTCAAACAGGGAACCAAAAGCACTCTTTCTATGGCATCAGCCACAGAACCTTAATATTTAATAGAGAACATAAAGAACAAATACTTAAGTATTTAAATTATTTTGGCCAGACATACAGATAATAATTACAGCTCTCTTTTGTTTCTCAATACAAACCTGTCCAAATGCTAAAGAAATCAATTAATTAAATAAACAATTTAAACATCGCCTCATTCAACATGTTCTGAAAAAATACAGGATAGTCTAACATTCATGACACTGTATCTCAAAACAAATAGAAATTTAGGTCATATGTTATTTTGATGGTTTCTAGATGCATAAGGTCACATACGGGAATATGCAAAGGTTTTGGCATCCCTTGTTAAATAAGGAAAATAAACTTTCTACAGAGAACACACTTCTGCATGTTTATATGCACAGTTACTGTGCTCAGACATAAAATATGGTCTGTGCAAAGATTATCGCACATTTTATATTTTGTTTTATTTTTTTTCTATTATGTTTACTAAGCAAAAAAAGAAATTTACTAAAAATTTCAGAAAAAATGCATATTTGAGTGTCTTCTCTGTAAAGGACGTGTCAACTTATTTTCACTCAGAAAATCAAGAAAACATGTAATTTCACTTCTGCATTTCACTGCGAAGAACTTTTCATCTGTGTGTTTCAGATATGCTAATGATTTACAGGATTGAAAGAGTATTGAATCATTTACCTCATTGCAGTATCGATCAAGTGTATACTGAATAATAAGCCTTAGGATTAATAACTGATCACTAAATCTACAGTTTAAGGGGTTAAACTTTATTCACCCTCACAAGTCAGGATGCAGTTGTAAAGCTGCAGTACATTAACATCATCTGACCTTACAGCTATCTGAATTCCTGCTGCGCAATTCTCTCCCTCTACAGGCAAAGTCAAAGGACATCACTGTCAGCTACCTGGTGTTTATCAAACAGCACTCCCAAGAGCAGGAGTACAGGGCACTGAGAACCACCATCCCCGTCCTGACCAACAAGGGCTTCCTCTGCCCTTCCCACAGCAAAGTCCAGTTCTCTAAAGAGTACGGCAACATCGACCTACCCACCAAACTGCCTGGTAAACACCCTCCTTTTGAGCCAGTGCTTGCATGTGAAACACAGAAACTCCTACTCAGTTACATATGATCCTCTACATGATGGAACGGACTATGACTATATCCTCAACCGTCAGTATAAATAGCAACATAAATTGTCCTGCTTTCTGATTCACTGTTCACCTCTCCCTTTGCTATTACGTACTACTTGTCTCTGGATGAAGCTTTTTAGATATGTCTGGCTAAAGTGTGGGTGGGTCCATCTCGCTGGGAAAAAATAAACATGACAAGAGCTTTTTAGAACCAAGGTTGAGTCTTTACCAAGAGAACTGCTGGCCTGAAATAGCGGCAGCTCTTGAGCCCAGGGCAAATCAGGAATGAGTATGCAGTGCTTGTGGCCTTTGTGCGTTGTCTGCGTTCATCCTGTCCCATATAATTGATTACTGATGGTCTTCTTATTGGGCCTAAATGTTAGGGGGAGTGGCCCGTCCATCGAAGCACAGGCATTTCCCCTTGTAGGAGCCTAACAAAGGCATGAAATTATGGGGAGCGCTTAGAGTTATGTAATAACTGCGTGTGTATGTGGGATGGAAAATGTGTTAGCATGCTTGACCTAGCGCACTAGCCTTGACCTGGCTGGTACTGGCCAGTGTTCTAGACACTGCCCATTGTGCTTGTGCTCCTCTTGTCCACCTGTCTTTTTTTCTGCTTCCGATCTTCCATCACTTTTGTTATTGTCTTCCTCATAAGTGAAATGCTATTGTGTAGATATATTGTTTTGCAGCAGCACAGTGACTTGAAACTTACCGGTAATGTAACTGTGGAGTTTATTAGAGCATATTGTGATGTAATTTATCATAATAAGTACTTGTAATGCTTCTTTTATATATATTGTCATATTGCCCAGCCCTCATTCCACCAGTTTTTTCAGAAGTTGTACTCGATTGGTGAGATGTAAATAAAGTCATTCAGTGTGGTCTGATGTGAAATGGTTCACTGTAGATATTTACCAACTCAGATTTCTTTACAGTGGTGGTGATTGGATGGCTACAGCTCAAATATAGCCATTTTCTCACTGTACAAAAAGACCAGTGAACCTACACGTCTTCTGTGTTTTAAATGTAATGTTGGTAATAGTTAAATAGTAAATCCAGAAAAAAAAGTTTTCTTTCGCCTTATAATACCCTGCATGTACTCCTCCGCCAAAAATGTTGTAAACCATAATTTATCTCAAGACTAGTGTTAAGTAAGGCATCCTGCAGCATAATTGTAACCATTTCATCTAATAATGTCTGTGTAGCTTTTAAAAGCATTCACAGCATTGTGATTGGTTAGAGGGCTCATTTGCACTCTACTGAGATATCAGTAATGCAAAATACGATACCGCGATTGCAATTAACAAACGACTGACTTCAGCCCTAGTTTGTGCTAAAAGTACTGTGCTGCATTTGAATCCTGATTACCATATGCTAATGCTAGTAATCAAAATGCTACAGAAGCACAGACTTTTTTCTTATTTTTTGTTATCTTCCTCTGTCTCGTCCAGGGGTAGACTGGGTGCTGCTGGACCCGTGCTACCTGCGGGCTGATGGAGACGTGCCTGGTTGGAGGGAGCTGTTCAGTGAGCTGGGGGTGAGGGACCTACTCATCTTCAGGAAGGAGCAACGTACTCTCACAGCCACAGAGCTGGTAAGAGAACGCTGCAGCTCAGCCGGGAGGCGCCAGAGGTCCAGCAAGTTTAGAATGCAGAGGCAGCGTGTCCTGCGTGTTTGTGTGAGTGAGAGAGCAGGGCTGGTCAAGCAGATCCTCGCGTGTCAGTAAGAGTTCTGAATGGGCCAAAGCCTAATGAAGCATGCCAGCATTCACTTTTGTCTCTCTGACACTTTACTGCTCTGAGAGCAAATGAGTGAGGGTGGGGGAAGTGAAGACCCCTCTTTAGAGGACAGTGTGTGAACACTAATCACGTCAGAGACAGTGACCAATCAGAGCACTTCCTGCATTAGCCATTAACCCTTAGAATTGTAGTTATTATTGTCTTTTTTCTTTTTTTGTCTTTTTTTGCATTATTACAACTTAATCCAGTATACTTTGGCCACACCTCCACCACTTTTTTTACCCTTATTTGAATTTCAGTTCATTCACAACAGTGAAAGCAGACAGAACCACAGACATTTTTTTTTGATGAAAATAGTTACAAAACAGCAATGAATGGTATAGCAAAAAGCTGTATATCAAGTATTAAACAATGGAATTGTTGTTAGGAACTGGACATTGTGACCATGATGGGGAAAATTGTCAAATTGTATATATTTTATGTATTGTTTTGTGACAGGACAAGAGACATTAGCTTTCAATACATTGTAGAAAGTGCAGCCAAGTGTCCTTAAATGATTTAGTGTTATTTTTTAAATTTGCTGTTAGTCTTTCCGGACCAGAGTAATGTGTGAAGTACTTGAGCCTGTGTTTTATGTTGATTTAGGTTCTGTCTTTCTAGTTCAGTAATATAATATTAATGGCAATGGTGAGTGATATTAAACTGCCGATGTCGTGGACAAACTGATTTTCTCATTTTTTAAATAGTTTGATGTACATATACAAACACTGTTAAAGACTCTAAATGTACTGTTAACTCTTTAGTTCAGGCAGTCCATATATAAAAAATAAGCTGCAAAACCAGCCAATCAGAACAGAGTTCCTTTACATGTATCAGTCTTAGAGGCAGTCACTAAACAGTCAGTTTAATTCTAAGGGATAGAGAGAAGTTGGAAATGGTCATGTAAAAATGTATTATATATTTTAGGTAAAACTTTATAAGTGGATCTCTGGGGAAACAATAAAATGCATTAAAGACATAGGATGTGGGCCTTTTAATATAAAGGGAAACAGGTTATTGACATTTCACTTTATATGTGCATATACACACATATATATATATATATATATATATATATATATATATATATATATATATATATATATACGTAAGTATGTGTGTATATATGTGTATGTATAACACTGGACACACAGCGGTAACTTTTCAGATATTCACAATATCTCCTCTTCTCTTCTTCCAGTGTGCTACAAGTGAGATATAATTAAATAAAACATATCAAGAGACATTTCAAAACCTATATATCATGGAGGACCTAAGAGGATTAAAAGCACTTTTCTTCATTTAAAAGGCTGCAATGACATTTACAGTGATAGCGTCCAGCGGCCTTGGTGTTAAATCTGCTCACATAAATACTTGAAATATGAAATGTATGGCTGTGAGTCATTTCACCCAAGTAAACCACCAAAGGACAGCACATGCAGTTCTGAGCAATTGCAGCCAGAACAGTGACTAGTTAAACTGAGAGCACTGCCAATCCAGGGCTCAAATACAGCATTAACTGTGTCAGACAATGACCACACACGTAATCCGGTCGGTCATTACTGCCCACTGCGTGCAGCTCATTTAGTCTCAGTGTGCGTTTTGTGTTACCAAATGAATGACCTAGTGTTCCAAAGCCAGCAGTTGTGTTCATGGTCTGTTATGGTTTCAGTTTGAAGGGGACAAAAGAGTAGAAATGCTGGCTGAAATGATATTTTTCAGATATGCTGGAATTGTAGTACTTGTTGGTTTTGACCTACATTTCTGTGGCGTGTTTATCAGGCTGCTTTTCCCTGTTAGAAGAGCTTTGAGAGAGGCTGTTTTCTGCACTCCTCTTTAATGCTACTCAGCGCACAATCACTGCTTGCAGTGAGGAGCTCATACAGTGCAGTAGCTGGATTTAAGACTGCTTTGGCACCTTAATCCCACTGCTACCGATCCCCTATCACGCTTTATCCCACAACCATGCCAGCGCTGCTGGATTTAACTGGAGCTGCAGTCTAGTAATCATTGCTAATAGTGTTTTTTATAGCATTTTGCTGTTCTTAAGACTCTAGAGTGAAGCTGAAGCAATACTGGGTCAGCATTAATTCTCAGTTGTAATGGCAATAACAAAAGAAAGTGCTAGAGGTAATAGAGAAAATAAAGAACCCGATCCAGTCCAGTGTTACCAATCTATCCTGAAATATCACACATTCTCATTGTGTGTTGAGTACATGTAGTTCTTCCTGTAAGGTAGTGGTGTGTTTGAGTAGTTTGAGTGTGATATCCTACTTTTAGTTGTTCATCTTAAAGGGGAATTCCACCAATTATTCAGAATTTCTGCGTAGTTAAGTGGTTCAGATGTAAACTAGTCCGTTAGAGTGATTTGATATGAAATGCTCCGTTCTAGGGAAACTTACCCTACATTCATGATGAAGAGGTACATGCAGGGATATACTACTATTTTTCCATCATAAACATTGCATATAAGCACTCAGTTGGTTTGTGTAGGTTCACTGGTGGTTTTTGTAGGGGTTAAGGGGTTAAATGATACAGTGATATGGTTCACTAATGATTGTTCATTTGCCAATTTCCATTTATCATTTTATATTATCCTCTCTCTCTCTCTCTCTCTCCCTCTCTCTCTCTCTCTCTCTCTCTCTCAGTCATCTAGCCCGTGGGCTGCGGAGGGCGAGCTGTGGCCTAAGCCTGCAGATGGAGTTTATGTCATTGAGGATCAGCAGTGTGAGGAGTTCCACTCTCTTGCCACGGCAGATCAGCTACCCGCCCACATCAAACTCCAGCAGAGGCAAACTCTGATCAACCTCCTGGAGCACAACTGGGACACTGGGTAACATCCACATTCTCCTGCAAAGCATCACCCTGTTCACTCTTGTTCACCTCAGATCTGTTGAACAGAGCTCTTCATCTTTATTCAAATGTTAACTACTGCTTTAAGAAACCAGTCCTTATTTATTGATTTATTTATTTCATGCAAACTAGGGGTGGAAATCTCTAGGCACCTCACGATTCGATTCGATTACGATTCAGAGGGCTGCGATGCAATTATAAAACGATTATCGATGCATCTTTTTTTTCTATATAGCATTTATATTTTCTCACTGTGTGAGTTCAGATTTCAAGTTTATTTGTCATTTGCACAACATATCAGGACATTTATGCATTGAAATGCTTGTGGTGAGGCTCAGCTAATCACTCTATAGAAAGTAAATAAGTAAAAATAAAAATACAAGAAAAACCAACTGAAATATATTAAATCTACACAAAATATACACAGAATATACATACAATATACATTTTAAAGTGACTCAGTGACTCGGTGTTGTTATTTAAAGTGACTTGGTATTTTTAAAGCAAAGTATTTGTAATGATCCATAATGAATTTACTTCCAATATCTTTTATTAATAAATCAAATGGAAGTGATGTGGCAAGTGAACTAGAAGGCTCTCATTCAGTGCTCTTGTTTGGAGCACGAGAAGCTGCTGCTACTCATCTGCGATAAAATGCGCAGTTATGGTGAAATAAGATCCTGTGGTGATGGATGTCCACGCAGCACGTTACAGCTATTCTACCCGTTTTCTTTAGTGATTTTATAACTTCGGTTTTGGTCTCGTTGTAGAGACGGGGGGGTCGCTGTGTCAGTAGATGGGACGTGTGCAACATAGCGCGAAAGCCGTTTCGCAACGACCGAGGACCGACGTGCAGACTGCAGGTCACATAGCAGCGATGCGTTATTCGCATTTATAAGCAGCGCAGTTGGTTTCCTGGTACGTTAAATCTGCAACGAGAGACTGTCAAACAGTAAAAAGTGGCAAAGCTGAAGTCGCTTCTCTTTCGAATTCTCCCGTTCCACCTTAAATGGTGCCGCATTTACACTCTGGCCTCAGTTAGAATTTAAGGTGGAACGGGACAATTCGAACAAGAAGCTGGAGAATGAGAAGCGACTTCAGCCTCGTAAAACAGTCGAACGCTGAGAGACATTTAACTGATCAACTTCTGAGGAAAAGTTTTCTGGCGGAGATGGGAGGAAAGCGGCTATAGCTAAAGTTTAAAGTAGAGTAGAGTAAATCTGCATTTTCCTTTATATTGTTTAGTCTATACTAGGACATTATCACATACTGAGACATACTGGACATTAAATGTTGTGCCTCCCAAGGTGGTTTGATTTTTGTTGAAAGGACAAAATGGCTCTTCTTAACATTTGGGCTGTGACTCCTGACCTAACCTGGCTTTTAATACAGAGGGAGCCGGTCGGATTTCTCGATCATCCAGTAGTGTTTTTGTTATGTGCCGCCACAGACTGTCCGGGCGCTGCACTTACCCACTTCCAAATTCCGCCTTTTGCGTTCCGTCCACATTACATTATAAATTAAATATTTAGAAAATCGATTTTTGATATTTGTGAATCGTTTCAGAATCGTTCACGTCCACATCGCGATGCATCTAAGAATCGATTTTCCCGCACCCCTAATGCAAACCATAGCCAAACAGCAGTACTCCCACAGGTGAACATAACTGAACTTGTAAAAATGTTGGGTGATGTGATGTCCTACTTTAACACTGTTGTGCCTGAGATAGATTAAATTGTTCTAGAAATAAGGCTGCACTGGTGAATGTGCTCAGCGCGGCAGGCAGATAGCACGCTTGTACAAAAAGGTGCATATGTTAAGGACATTCACAGACCACAGTGTCAGGACCTCGTCCACCTGTGTACAGATATTTTTAAAAGCATTGTTTTTCCAATCATTTTCAAAAAAGTCTTTGTCCACACCTGCAGTGTTTTTGAAAATCTCTATGTCCACACGAAAATGCAAAAATTACTCGAAAACTCCATAAAATATGACGTCATTCACCTCAAAAAGTACGTGGTGAGCACACTGCGAAAATATATAGAGGCTGCTGCAAAGCAAATACAAAGATCTTAAACACGTTGTACCACCATGTTAATGATACAGTAGCGTTGCAGGCTGTCTGACCTCCGTAATTTGATAATTTACATAGATTCAAAGTCTGATTTTTAAAACCTACCTCTTGTCATTGGGTTTTTTATGTTGCCATAGCTACACCACCATATCTGAAACGTCCACGCAGTCTTGATCAGACAGAGCAGCCGAGTTTTTCTTGCTTTTCATCCAATTTGAATTATAGAGTTAGTATTTATTTTGAATCTGACATGTATGTTTAGAATCATTTTGGTATTTTTAGTATTTGCTGTCACAGTGACAGCTATGAGAACAGAGCACAGTACGTTCTGACGCCTCCACCTTGTGGTTTAATGAAAAAGGAAAACCAAATTCAATTATAAACATGTCAGCATGCAGAAGCCGTCAGTCATTTTTTAGACAGAGTTCTGCTTGCTCAATAAATGAAAACACCCACATACATGCGCAAGTTGTGATGTAATGTCAGCATTTTCAAAAAGCTGTGTTTTGCCCATCCACACCAAAACCTCCACCCTGCAGAGCATTTTCAGAAACCTCCTTTTTCAGTAAACAAAAATGCAGTTTTCATATGGAAAGGAGGCCAAAACACAGAGAAAAAAAAATATGTTTTCAGAAATATCTGGATATGTATGGATGACGCCTTAGACGCCAGACAAAACAGCGTCAGATCATTGGAAAAACATGGTTAAAAGCATATCTTAGCTCTCATATATCAGGCAAAACGAGCTTTATGCTGCATTCATTAAAGCCGTTCCTTGTCTCATAGCGGTGTCTGACTGACAGCGGCATGTAGCCTTGTGAACATTGGTAGGCCGACTGCGTTACTGCCGAAAATGGATGATTTTCAGAGGAGATATACGGTATAGAGTGTTTATTTAAGGTGGAAAAGGGCAGGAGGATGCTCTGTACTCTTTTTTTTTTGTTGTGTAATACTGGGTTCATCTGTAATTACACAATGTGACGTTTAGCATTCATGGCTCCCAAAAAAATAAACATCTGGTTTATTTCATTGCTGCAGTCGGCTGCAAAAGTTGGAAAATGTAATTCTTGACTGAGTGTTCTGCTTACTGCTGCAGTCAGTGGCTCATTTGCTGCTGGCGGTCATCACACATTTTCCGTTCTGTTGAAAACAATAGAATATCTGGTTTACCATTGTCCATCTACAACCAAGGTGTGAATGCAGCATTAGGGTAATTGACTTAGGATAAGATGGCATCAGGCTAAGTTAAGTGATCACAAACTGTAAACGGTAAAGTTTGTGTGACATTGGCAATTCTGTCCTTTTTCACTGGACTAATTATAGTTTTGTGGTCAAATTAAAAAACGTCATACTACAACCACAACTTTTACATGACTGCCCTTTTATTATGTTCTTTATTTTATTTCAGAATATTTTAGTTTACTTCAGAAAGATTAAGCCCCAACTCTAAGTCAACAGGTTCACTTCTGACTTTTATCCATTTGTTTGTGAGCAAATGACAACTACGTGGCAAAAATGTAATGTATGGTGTTTTGTTTCTGCACAGCAATAGTTTTTCATCAAATTTTAATCGTGGTATAATATCACCACTTGTGTGAAATAATCGATAAAAAATTGCATGTTTTGCTTTCCCCTAGCGATAACACTGAGTTCTAAGGGCTGAATGGTCATGGTTCCTCTCTATGTGTGGACGTACGAGTCCTGCTGTCTGCCTGCTAGATGCCTTAATCCTCACAATCCGTGGTTGATTGCGAAGCAAATCCATTTGTCTTGTCGGCAATCTGTTGATTGAGTGCTGTATCTGCTCCCATTCCTGTGCTCTCCAGTCCACATTCCTCACACTACTGGCCTAGTTTGAAATGTCCTCTATCCCCCTGCTGGTGGCTAAGAGTCTCTCTCTTAGAAGTCCGTGTTAAACAGTTGGCTGGACAGTAATGGGGCCATTGTCAGTGTATTATCCCCTCTGATCTCTAAGCTTAGTTTGAAGAGAACTATTGCACTGCATTGTTTGGGTTACTTTCAGGCTGGAAAACAATGTGAAGCTCAGTGTGGATTTGTGCAATCTATTTAATGTATCCTTGTTTTTAAGTTTACTTTCAGCTGGCCAAATTTGGCCAGACAGCATTGTGACCGAACTGAAACTGGAGACACAGGTCCTATTCTCGGAAACTGCGATCAGCATAGTGTTGACCCTTGAAGAGAAAGCACACGCCACAACACATTGCTGTTGTAAAAGCACAGCTGTATTACGGCTTCCTTCAGCTGCTTTGTGCACGTTTATTGTGCTTATTCCACTCCTGCAGTCTTTCATAATGGCCCTCATTAATGACCAGCAGCAAAGACAGTTCTGGCAACTTTTGCTGGCTTTTGTTGACCTTTTGAAATGTGCATTTTAGCGTCGCTCTCAGCTAGCACTTCACCCCCTCGTCCTGTCCCTGCTCTAGAAAATGACTCATCTAGCAGCCAAACCAGGACAGACACAGCACTCGCTATCCTCTTCCACGCACGCACTTTTACATGGGAATTTTACGCTAATTAAACGGGAAGGGGTTAAATGTGAACACGAGCTGGAGTCAAAATCCCAGTAAGACTGATGCAGCAATTTATCTGCGTTAGATCTAGTACAGTTCCAGCAAAATTATGAAGAGGACTCGTGTGAACAGAAACCGATACATTACTGGAAAAGTTAAGTAATGCTTGAGTACTCAGTTAGCTATTTGAAGTATTTAAACGCTGAAATCACTGTTCTGATGTTCATTATGTTTCATCACAGCAAGACAGAAAATATACAGGCTAACTGTTCAGTGAAACGCAGCATTTTTTCTTGTATTTGTGAGTAGTATGTAATGTTGTCAGGTTGTTTAATGGAGCTGTGAAAGTAACAGAGCACAGAGCGAATTTCTGACCTATTAAAGAACACAAGGAATATGCATGTGTGTTATTTGGGCCACTGCAGGGTGAAACCAAACAAACCTAATTAAAAAGATCTGATGTAACAAAAACACAAACTCTACAAATGGAAGAGGTGGGAAACAGCCTTAGAAATGAAGGAACTGTTGGTCACATCCTGTTTAACAGGATGCTGGTAAAATACAGTTGAAGAGCTGGCTGCACGTGCAAATGATACAAAGCCTAAACATTAGCAGTAAAGTGGTAGCTGGTAATGTACCAGGTTCTGAATGTGAAAAGGGTTGTTGTTTGCTCCTTTAATCTTTTTGACACATCTTAGGTCCCCCATGGCATATACAACTGGAACCACCTCTTCTTACATTTTGAGAAATTCTGATTCTTAATTTTTTATTTGTACTACATTCTTTTTTGTAAGTAGAGCACTCACATTATTGGTTAATTGTGGTTTTGAATTTGATCAGAAATATATTAGTTGAGTGTACAGTCTTGATTTGCAGAAAGAAGAATCAAACTTTACCTTTTTGTCATGTTTTTGTTGTTGTTTGACATCAAAACGAGGAAAAACCCAAACCTGTCAATACAGAATGTAATTCAAATGTAATTGTAATTCATTACATAAATGTTTAATTAATTATGGAACTATGTACTTCATTTAAATAATTAAGTACTTTTTCAAATATATAATTATTAATGCAGAATTTATATTAACAAAGCTTGAAATGAACATCTAGTTCATTAAATGACTGCCTATGTAATTAATAAGGTAATTACATGTAAATAATCATGTAATGTAAATTAAATGTGTAGCAAAGCTGCAATAATAACTACTAAAGGTTAAACATTTAAAAATAAAAATATTTGAAAGGGGCAAACCTAAGGAAACCAGGAATTTCCAAAACTGGTGTTTATAAAGTTATTAAAAAGATTAAGAGAAAATGGGACTCTTAACAACTATGCAAGACCCTGTAGACCACCAAAACTTTCCCCATCAGATAAACAGTACTTTTGTATAGTGTTTTTTCCTGATGCTGAAAAATTAATAACCTGTACTTAATGGCTGTTTTGACTGTAAATAAAGGGTGGTCTCTGACTTTTGTACAGTATTGTATGTTGGCTTAGATATCCAGTTACTCAATAGTCATGCAAGCATTTTCTGTGTTTCAGAGAGAAGTACGCTCAGTATCTCCGGGCTCAGGTGCTGGACAGTCAGGGCCGATCCATAAGAGACGCCAAATCCTCCTTCTATCACTTCTTGACCCAGCTGGCCTGGGTGCCTGCGTACAGGCCTGTGCTGGAGGGGGGGCGCACTGTGGACTACTTGTGCCCAAACACTGTGTATCTCTTTTCTGCTAGTGTGCACAGCCTCCTGGGAGCTCACATCCATTATATCGATTTAACTCCCAGTGAATTCTCCAGAGCCATAGGTAAGCAGGTGGCACCAGCAAGACTGTCAACACATCTTTCTTGCCTTTGAGTGATGAAAGGATTTGATTGGAAGCATTTTCAGTGTCACAGACTTGTTTTTTCTGTATATGATCTTCACTACCAGTGAAAAGTGGACACACCTACTTATTTTTCTTACTTTTACTGTTTTCCTCATTTTTAAATAATAGTCAATACATTAAGACTATGAAAGAACATGTGAGTTTATGCAGAAACCCCAAAGAACAACCAAAATCTAAATTATATTTTTATAGTCATATTTATAGTTTAGCCACCTTTGCAACTTTTTTAAAAGTGTTAAAGAGCTTCTCACGTACACCATTTAAAAGTTTGGAATCTCTTGTTATATTAATAATTTATTTTGAATAAACTTATATAATGTTGATGTAAAATGTTTGAACTAGAGACCAGTGGGTATTTTTTTATATTTTATCCAGTATTTAAAGGATTTTTTAAGTTAAGCACTGTAAATTCTATACTGACTATTTATTTACAATCATTTTCATTTTCCAGTTTTATCATTTATTATTTATTTATTTTTTCCTCTCAAGATTTGATTACTTTTCAAATGTGAGGAATTAAGGTTGTTAAAGTTATAACTGCATTATTGATGTTACCTGTCTTTCTCAGTCATTTCAGAATCCTCTGCAGCTCCATGCATCTGGACACATTTAACATACGCTGTTAAAAATATTGTCATTTTAACTAAAAAAAATTGTGCTGCCTTTAAATGTTGAGGTAATTGAATTTTAAATAGTAAGTTAACGGATCTGCAATATGTGCCCTGTCAACTTATTAATTGAAGATCAGATAGCTCAGAATTGAATGGCAGTCCAAATACTAACTTTTGATGTTAAATACACAAATCTTTTTACAGTATAGCTTTCTACTAATATATTTTTTACAGGACTTAAATTCAGTTGGTTAAAAAAAACAAATTGGTTTTATATTTGTGAAAACATTGATTCCAAACATTTAAACAGTGATTGCAAACTTTTGAACAGAAGTGTATGATAAGCATTTTTAGATATATATGTTTTTTCCTGGAAGTAAATGCTTATATAGGCATCAGCTTTACTTGGACAGTTCCAGTTTACTGACTGAGCCATGTTTGAAGCTGCTGTAAACTACCCTTATACTGTTTTGAGTTATTAAAAACCATTGCTTTGTTCATGCAATGATGTTTGAGAGTTATGTTGCTTTGAACTAGTGTGATAAATTAAATTGTTCATTGAACATTAACATACAGTTGTGTGCAAAATTAGGACCTTGACTTTCAGAGTTCCCCATAACCACCATTTGTTAATGACATTTTGGACAGTGGAAATTGCGAGCTGGAAGAGTTTGATGTCTTTTTATGGCCCTCTCCTGCATTGTAGACATTTTCAGATCCTTAGCCAGTTGCTTAAAGGAGCCCATAGTTGTTCAGTGTTATCACAAAGTTTGAAGAGTCAGAGAATGTATTGTGTTCTGGAACTGTCATCGGCTGACCATTCCTAACGAGTTATTGACCTGCTTAAGTTTTAATGAGTCAATTAAGGCCTAACGAGTCAAGCAATTTCTGAGATTTTACAACAGAAAGCGTGTCCAAAATTTTGCACGACATAATTACTAGTTTATTTTTTTCTATTTTTTTTCCAAATTAATTAAATATTAAGTTACTGTGCATTAACATGCTGTAGAGGTTGTGTTTACTTCTTTTCACTTCAGACATCAACCAGATAAGCCAAAAATCAACCAGACATTGATACAGACTCTGTGTGTGTGTGTGTGTGTGTGTAGGGATGAGACACAGTGTAGGGGTAGATGAAATGGTGGGCTATCTGAAGCGCTGGTGTACAAAGGTGGTTGAAGGGAATGAGACAGGTGAAGCTGAGGGGGCGGACTTCAGCACCAGCATCCAGCACATCCACGCTGTGTACTGCTACCTGCAGGCTGAGTGCTCCTCCGCACAGCTCAAAGACCTCTTCCAGCACTCGCCCGCCGTCTTCATAGAGTACGACAGGTCAGACCTGCACTCGCTTTCTAATCTTTTTTCAATAAAACATTTTTTTAAAGTTCTCTAAGGGCACAGTAAGCTCTGCCTGCTGACTCTGTTGGTAGTTTATGACTGCTTTTATGGTTTAAGAAGAGGTCAATACTGTACTCAGCCCAAACCTCACACCAAAAATATGGAAGCAAGAAGTGGCTTTTAAAATCTTGAAAATAAACAACCAGCACAACACATGTTTATTGACAGCTAGTATAACAAAGAATTGTGCTGATGTACTTTTGTTGTATTTTCTTGGTAAATAATGTGTAACCGTGTTTAGCAAAGCTTTTCTTTAACTAATCATATATAGTTCGATGTAGATATGTAAAAAACAATGTAGAATTCTATTAAATGAATTGTCTTTGCATTATCTAAAAAAGTAAGTAACCTCTAGTCTGTTACAATTAACCTGACCTATAGGGTAAGTTTTGACATTCTCACTTGTGCCATTTTCAGCTGAATTATTCACAGATGGTTGGTGCTCATTACTTACATTTACATTAGTAGCAGAGCTCCTTAATGGTCCCTTACATTGCCCACTTGCAAATTATTTACAAAATGCCTATTTAAACACACTTGATTCAGTTCATCAAGTTTTCTGAAAGTGAGAATCAGATGGATATGATTAGAGCTGTAATAAGACAATAGTGAATTATAATCACCAGTACAAGTCAAGAATCACGTTATTGCTGCATATACTGTTTTTAGTCCTTTGTTCTGTGTCAGTAAACATTATATTATCCATTATCTCTTAAAGAAATAATGTTTATTCTTATAAAATTAGTACTGCTTCCAAACGTTTGGCCTGTAGTGTAAGGATCAACAAAGTGAAAGATAGCCGTGGTGTGTTTTAATAGCTCTCTTTTTTTTACATGTCTTCAGGAAGGAGGACTGTTGTTCTGGACGGTTTTACCATCTGAAGGATGTGTGCTGGAGCGATCCCACAGGCATGTTTGTCAGATATAAGGAACTGATCCGCCGGCCTGAGAGCGGAGTCCAGGAGCCGAAAGTACTGGCCCCGTTTTATAGCCAATTGCAGCACATGAAAGAAATGTTCCTGGTGAGTCTCCTACTTTGAAACAATTCCAGTTGAAGCAACATTGGCTATGAAAAAGGTGCATTAGAAATGAAACCTAAATGAAAAAATTGTTATTACATATGTTGGCATTTCAGATGACAGGGACTGATTTGTTTTGAGGGTCTTTGTCTTGAGAGAAGAGTTTTTGGTCTTGTTTCTATAGTCTTTGAATGTGGACCGCAGTCCGTCTATGAAGCAGTATGTGGACCTCCTAGAGGTTATGTGTGAGTCAGCCCTACTTCCTACAGGAGAGGTTCTTCAGGACATCTCCGTCATTTTTGCAAGACTAGGTGAGTTTTATATGCAGTAATTTCATTAAAATGCTGCTTGTTGATGGATATGAATCTCCTGAATGGAATCCTGTTGATATTTTGTTTTGCCTCTCTCAACAAAAGCTGAAAAATGTAAAAGAAATATGCACGGAGAGCAAGATGAAGACTTTGAATTAGACCATTACTACTGCAGGTCTTTGAAAGGTGAGTATATGATAATGCTGTTCATTGACTCCTTGAGCCTGTTAATACATTGCATTAATATGTGTTTTGTGTTTTGTATCTGGATCGTATCTGGAAAAAAAAATGTGGGCCAGATTCCATTTACGCTGTTCACTAAAATGCGTCCCCAGTGTGACAAGATAAGATCTGAGTGCACTTTTTCTGCATAAAAAACACAACTACACATACGTCATTTCTGTTTTACTTGTGTTCACTTTTCCCCCTGTTACTATGTGAGTGGCCTGGACACCTTCATCAGCCTGGAGTGCTTGAAAGCTCTTGGTTTGGGGCTAACTTCAATATGAGTATTGCTTCGTTGTTTATTCTTTCACCTACTAGTCAGCACTCAGCAGAGGCATTCCATTTACACTTGAGTTAAATGAGGTCAAGATCCATCCCTGACCACCTCCAAATGTGGTTGGAGTGATCCAGTCGTAATCCACTCACAATGTGTCCTGGCTTTTTATGAGGTCAAGTGAAATCCGAACATGAACCAATCAGTTAAAATTTCTGTTAATGCAAGGTGTAAACAGGCCCCTTGCTGATTTTTACTCTTTGTAATAGTGTTTTGTGTAGTCAAATTTAAAGGAATATTCCAGCATTTTTCAACTTAATATCTGTCTGCTGCATCTGTAACAGTCAGTTATCATGGATAGTAACTTTCCTGTACTTTGAAAAGAACAAAAAATAACTTTACTTAGAACACACTTCTAGAGGCCAATTTGCAGGTGCCTCAGCCATTGTAGCAATTCAGATATAGGTGTGTATAAGCTGGGGTGCATGATCAGAATTGCGTGGAATAAATTGGTTTATTGCTTATTATTATTTCAGCTGATCTGTGTTGCAATTTTAACAACATTAAATGCCCTGCCCATAGCTGGCTCACTTTTTTATATTTATATATATAAGAAAATAATAATAATTAAATATATTAATATTTATATAATTAATAATTATATATTATGTAATTATATATTTCTGTTGCTACTGTAGTTATTTAAATGAAGTTTGAGTTGTGTGGGAGAGAAATAAGTGGTGGCATTTTAACCATCTTTGCTATTCAAATATCTGAATTTTTAAATAAATACACAGCACTGCTCTTCTATAGCAGCCCTAGGGCTTTTTTTGCTTATAGTCATTTAGCACAGGCTGTATTAACATAAAGCATAGGATATTCCAGTAAGTTCATGATCTTTGTATTTTAGTCATAATTTATTAAATAGCAGTTTAATTTGTAATGTATTACTTTGTAAGTGGCCTTCTTTTGTCTGCTAGCACATCTACTAGGTTTTCACACACTGGGTTTAGTACTAACTATGCCATTTTTGACATTTGAAGCTTGCAAGTTATACATGTAATGTATGTTGCAGTTTTACAGTGAATCCTTCAGAAAATACTGCAACAAAAAGGCTACAACACTGAACACTATTTGAGGAACCTGTCAGCCTCTTAGCTCTCAGGAGCTGGTTGTAAAACAAAATCATTTTCTTTCATTGAGTGTGTTTAGAATGATTTCGGGCTGTTTATTTCACATCCATACTGCAGACATATGTTTGTGCGTTTGCTGCTTCATGTCAGTTTATTTAGCCTGCAGTTGTGAGTTTCAAGTCAATACTAAAGTGAATTGTCTGTTGCTTAAAAAATATTTTAAAAATATTCTCCCAAAAATTGTCTAATCTGGCTGTAAAGAAATTGTAATCAGCCATAAAAACTCATCATCAGTTAAAGTAAGTCTGCATAGAATCTATTGTGAGAATAGAGAAACGTGCTAAAATGATTTTCTGTGGTAATCGACCATAAGATACAGATCAAACAGAGATTTGTTGAAAAATGCTGAAGTATTCCTTTAAAACAGTTTTCTGGCTGGAGCTCATTTTTTGCTTGGTGTCATTTCTTTCAGAGATGGTGTCTCGTAAGAGGGTGTTTCCTACCAAAACTCAGGGCTGGGTCACATTGGCCCGCAAACCCATGATAGCAGACAGTCAGATCCTGGAAAAGATCTTCAAGTCTCACAGTGAAGTTTGCTTACTCAACCTGCCCTCCGCTATGAAGAAAGCAGCAACCAATCAGACAAACAAACATAAATCAAGTGGCCAAAAAGGTAATTTAAAGCAGATCACTGGGACAAATACTGTGATGTGCACTGATTTGAGTAAAAATCTGTTCATTAAATATTCTATTTTCTAACAGCACAATAAAAAAAATATTGCTGCTGTCGGAAGAAAACCTCGTATCTCCATTTTTGATGTTTTTCAGTTTTTGACATAATTTGAAAATGCCTGTTGCCCTTTACATTGCATATTAATTTCATGATGAATGGACTAAAAGAAATATTTCAAAATGACTTGGAAAAAAGTCTGGTTCTATTGACTTACATTAAAAGTAAAGTAGGTTTCTTCCTTCTTCTGTAAAGTTTCCATTTTGGAGATACTAGGTTTTCTTCTGACAACAGCAATATATCCTTTTAACAAAAAAGTACAAGAGTGCTTCAAGAGTATTTAACTTTGCATTTGCAGTAGGTCTTTGAGAAAATGGATGCATTTTCAGTGTAACAAAACTGGATTTCAGAGAATCACATAGGTCTTTGGGTAAAAGTACAAACTACAAGCAGCTGGCTTGTTGTGGCTGAAAGCTTGCTTCCTCCACAGTGTGCTGGTTTCCGGTAGCTTATTATGTCTGAGCCCTGGTGTATAAAGTCATTTTTAACCGCATGAGTCCCATCATTGTGCTTGCTGATATTGTATAAATTTCCACCTAATCTATTTTGAAATTTGGCAAGAAAAATGTAATTACACCAGTGATATTTTTAAAAAATGTCAGATGAGGCATTTCAATTGCCCCTTTGATTTTCACTGGACCCAAGGACCTTACAATCCAGTTATTGTTATATTGTATGTTTTCCTTGCCTTGTTTTTGGACGTTTAAAGAGACACTGAAGAGTCTAAGCTAGTATGGGTTGTATCTCTCTTAGGCAAGCGGCATGTTAGCGAGGAAAAGCCGGCGTTCAGTGAGAGAGACCGAGAGCTGTTCCTGGAGATCTGTGGGGTTAAGAGACTCACCCAGTGCGTCACCACTGAAGCACAGACAGAAAACTACAGGCCGTGCCCAACCATGCAGGCCCTGGTGCATGACCTTATCCCATACATTCAAAGGTTCATCTACCACCATGAAGAGCTGGGAGAAATATACGAAGATTTGAAAGAGAATGGCATTGCCCAGGAGATCAAGTCGCTGAGCTTTGGCCAGGTAAGTGTGCTTCGTTCTGCTGCTCCATCACTGCTAAGACTTTTGCCATTGTTGGCTTAGTTCCAGAGTCTGCTGAGTCATTGCTCACTATTGCATCATATCTTTTAACTGGAGGACTGAATAGAGACTGAGGAGAGGATCGTGTTTTTTGTAGGTTGGAAAACTCTACATTTATTACAGTCTGGAGCAGCCAGACGAGAGGCCTATTGTAGAGAGCGAGGACATCATATGTCTGCTGAAAGACAGGAAGGAGTTATACATACAGAAGGACCACCAGCTAGCCAAATTGGACATCTGCAGGTACAGCTTCTGCTCTCTGATTAGGTGCTGTCGCATACTGTGATCTTTTTGTTTTGACAATGGAAAATCTGCTTAGTGACATATGGTGTAACTGTATTGTTCTGATTGCAGAGAGCTGGTGAAACTGTTCACATCTGAGAAGAACTTTGTGAAGGAGCTGGACTACTTTCTTGAGGGCCTTGTTACTTGTATTCATGTAAGCACACTTAATAAGGGCCATGATAAAAGTGGCATTCTTACCTAAAATGACTTTTGTAGGCAAAAAGACTGCAAAATCAGTTTAGGTTAGTACTATATATTCATTTGCAATATACACTCACCAGCCAGTTAGAAACACTAATTTAATATTAGATAAACCCCCCCCTTGTTCTCAGAACAGTCTGAATGCATGGTGGCATGAATTCAGCAGGGTGCTGAAAACATTCCTTAGAGATTCTGGTCCATGTTCCATCATATAATTGCTGCAGTTTCTTAGCTGCACATCATTGCAACTCTCATCTCCAAGGTGCTCTACCTCATTCAGACCTGGTGACTGGGGAGGCCATTGAAATCACTGGACTCATTATCATGTTAATGGGACCAGTTTGAGATGTCTTTGTCACAAGGCACATTATTGTGGAAGTAGCCATTAAAATATGGAAATTTGACTGATATAGGCTGTGGCACTCCAAATTCTGACCCTAGCATCTGCATGTTGCAGTAGAAATCAAGATTCCTTAGACCAGGCAAAGTTTTCCTATATTTGACTGTTCAGTTTCTGGTCTGGAGTAACCTTCATGTTAGCTTGTCAACTCAAACAAGTCTAGCCATTCTCCTCTGACCTCTCTCATTAACAAGGCATTTCTGCCCATAGAACCGCCATTCACTGGTTCTTTTTTGGGTGACACTTCCTTTGAACCCTATTACATAACCTTGACATAACCATGCCAAAAACATGTCAAGATAGATGTCTAATGCTGTCATGAGTTGTCATGACAGATTATGTCCAAAAATATCACATTGTCGTGTTACCATTACTGTTAGCGTCATAATGTTGAATATTATGGTGGCTAACTTGAGTGCACTTAGCAAAAATTTGCAGATCAGCAGTTTTCACTTTCTTCAATTTTATTTTTCAGTTTTATTTTATTTTTTATGTCTGATTTGATTGTTAACTGATGCCCTTGACCTGTGTCTGCATGATTTTATGCATTGTGCTGATAACACGATTGGCTGATTTGATAATTGAATGACTGAACAACTGTACAAGTATTCCTAATAAAGTTGGGCAGCGAGGAAACTGTGCACATGGTAAATAACCTACACATTTGGTAGACCTCCTCAGAAAAGATGTTCTCTGAGAACCTGGATGTTATTTTGAAAGAACCCAGTTTCTAAATCATTAAGCTTGGTTAGCAAGGAAGAGGGAACAATTAGAGCCAATTATTGGGTTATGCTATACTTAATCCACAATTACTTGTAGACTGTCAACCTTAATTAGCATTGGCTATTGATAATTGCATAAACTGAGCCTGGCCTCAAGCTAACATCTGAGCGCAACTAAATGAGATGAGTCACTAATGATGATGCAGCAAGGTCATGGCAACTATTAAAAGTAGTAATGGGGACCCATAATGGTGAGTCTCTTAACTCCTGGTCCTGAAGCCATGCGTTAATATGCAGCATGCAGAGAAGGGCGTCTGGTTCCTCGGCACACAGGTGAGTCATTCCTCCACAGATGAGAGACACTCTGCATTTGTGGGTCATGTCTCTGGGGGATTTGTCACAGCCGCCTGGCAACTGGAACTGATGTGCTGATTGAACGCAGTTTAAGACGTTCTAATTAGCACATCAGGCGACCATAGAAGGAAATGTCTGGAGGAGATAAGCTACATGACTGGGTGTAAACCATAGCATGACAGCCTTTTGTATCCTCCTCAAATTCAGCAATCTGTTCACAGCAGACATTTCAGTTCATGCTGTGTTTTTCGATTTTTCCCTTCTCAGTCAAATCTCAACATGTATTCAAAATGCAGAACAAAAGAAAACAATGAGACAGTCTGAGCCATTCGTATTGTAAACGGACCCTTTTTAAAAGACGACTAAATTGATATAACTAAATTTATCCCCTTAAATGGCCAGGGCCCACCGGCAGGCCCACAGTTTTTTACATACTTATATAACCTAAGAATAGCTCAGCCAGTTTGCACTGAAGTCCCTGTAGTTACTGAATAATAAGCTTTAGTATGTAATAGGTTTTAAGGGATTAATCTGTTTGTTTTGGTGTCTGATTTAGGATGAAGCCGCTCTGAGAAGATTCCTGGACAGGAAAGGTATTCTGGAGCTTCCTGAAGAAGAAGAGACATGGCAAGTTCCAGCACCAGTGGAGATCAAACCAGAACCCACGGGTAAGCTCGGGGTGGGGTCTGACTGAGGGTAATAGGATGGGGTTGTTTGTTCTCTTGATGTTTCACATGGTTTTGAAGTCTCATATGTGGCACATTTGCAATGCCATCAGGCAGCAGTGCTTTAATCCCAGAATTCTCCTCTTCTTTCCAGAGCTCTGTTATTTTCCCTCATTTTCATCTTCTGTTCATGCATGCACACGGACACGCAGGCTACATATGCTAATTGGGATTTGTTCATCGCTGTGCTCGCTGACATGAAAGAGCAGCTGTTGCCACGGCTGCAATACAGCAAAGGGGAACATCCCTCCCTAAGTCTTTATACACGCACACAATTCAGCTGTGCAACAACCGCACAGCAGCTAGAGCTTCGCAGTATATTGTCCATTAATTGTTGTGTTGATAGTGCTGATATTGTAGACATGTGCAATATGCAAGTGAGCTTTAAACCAATCACTGAATGTACTTTTTTTACTACTGTTACATACCACTGACACCACCCAAAAAATTGAAAATACAAAACACTTGTGCTCAATCATCTCATACAATGCAATAACACAGCGTTTAACACAGTGTGTTATTTTTGGAAAATAATTACAGTACATAATCACATCATTCTGCCATCTTAAAAAAATGACATACTATTCCTTTCAGTCGTAATTTTAATGCTGTAAAGTTTGGTCATTGGGGGAGCAGTACACTCCCTGCCTGGCCTCAGATTCCACCTACAAGCACAGCCATTGTCTCGCAAGCCGCTGAATGCTGTTGCTTTATTGGCTCCCTACCGAAACATCTGCATGAATTAGGGCGTGCTTCATGTAAATGATATACTGGTAAGCTGATTCATCTGATGATGTGCTCAAATCTCTGCTTGTTTCCATGTTGTGTGAAAGTTTCGTGAATCTGATGTAGAGTAGTTCATACATAATTAAAGGTGATCAAATCTGTGCTCTTTTTTATGTAGCTTTGATGAATAAGGTTCAATATGTTACATTCAGCGAAATATGTAATCAGCTGCAATGTAATTTTCACAGACAATTCACTTTTTGCACGATTCTCCCATGTTTTGCGTGGCCCTCCCTCGGAAGAAGCACATTTTGTTTTTTACCATGCACACAGCCTATAAACTGCATGCATTAGCTCATGCAGCAGTTTCATGCATAACTCATGAGCAAAATGCAGCCTACTTACACCTGAAACTGCAGCAAAGGGCTCAGTACATCCGGCCCTGAGTGTTCTTGTCCTCTCTTTTGGCAGTGCCATCCACTGTCCGCACGTCTGGAGCTGCGAACACGCAGGAAGCAGAGAAAAAAACTGAGGAGGATGAAGATGACAAGCTGCACTGCTGGCCTCCTAAAGCCTCGCTCAGCAAAGCAGGAGGCAGTAGCACAGGTACTAGCACAGACTGTAGTAGTCTACTTGTGCACTGAAAAAGTGATGCACTGAATTTACTTGATTCATATGTGTTCATCATTTCTACATGAATAAAATAAAAGCTATCAGTTATTGCCAAAATTAAGTAAATTGAAAGATTGTGTTAGTGTCATGTACTGTACTCATGTGTAAATGATTTTATGCATTTGAATCAAGTAAATTCAGTGCATTACTTTTCCTCTGTGTATAATAAGAGAAAAGAGTGTAACTCTGCTTTAAATACTGAGCTTATAGTGAAGGTTCCTGTGGTTTTAACACCTTAAAACCTGATGGTCCGTATGTTGGCTCCTATGCGGGTTCCTCAGTCTTATAACTTCATAACTTATATTAGTTTTATAGTAGTTACTGAATAATAAGTCTTAAGTTTAATTACTGTATAATAAGCCAGCAGTTAAAAGGGTACTTGGTACTGGAAGGTGCTCAGATTCAGTACACTGGCACATTGGCTTTCAAGTGTCTCACCTTTATGATTCTGTACATGTAGGTGCAGGAAGCCAGGCAGTGGACGCGGTGATGAAAATGTGGCCTCCTCCAGCACCTCCAACTTCTTCAGCACCTACTGCATCTCCAGCTCTGAAGGCTGACAGGAGCTCCTCCAGTGTGAGCACTCAGGAGCCTAAAGGAGAACTCCAGCCACATGGAGCACCACCAGGCACTTCACATGTTCATGAACCCAGGTCACATTGCGCCCCACACTCAGCAGGTTAGTGCATATAACAGGAGATGATGACTAATGTCTGTCAATGGCAGAATTAAGTGGTGATTTCAAATGATGCTGAGCAACTGATATTGCTGATAATTCAGATGTGAATCTTTAAAAAAACTGAAAATTGCAGTGCATGCTTGGTGTCAGACTCAGAATACATTTTTCACATATTTTAATTGTTCTGTTGTGACATGTTGACATTGATATTTCAATTTTGGGAAATTGAGAATATGCACTGTATAAAGTTTTTTGTGAGGAGGTTCGGATGATTTGTTTATATGAAGACTTTCATTCCAAACTGCTGTATATCCATTCGTGACAATTCTGAATATAACGGGTTTCTGAAAAGAATAACAGCTGACGTAAACACGTTTATGTCTCTAATATAGCTGGTATTACTCATAGCATTGATAATTTTTCTATGTGTAAAGCTCACTTCCAACAACCTATATCATGATAAAAAGTGATTTGAAAGTCGTCTGTAATGCGTCTATGTAGAATATTAGAACTTAGTAGAATCAGGACAGTTTTATCAAATGAAATGGGGAAAATTGAATTGTATCTCAGAATGAAAAATCATGTTGAAAACTTGTATCATTTCTAATGTACTGGTTTTACTCAATACAGTTTTCTCTTTAACATCATCCAGGTCCCACAGAACAAAGACCAGAAGCCACTGTGCAAGTAGTCCAGTGTGTGAAAGTTCCTCATGAACCGCATGCTGTGGGGACTCCTGTTGAGAAACCTGACCCCAGAGAGGACAAGACCACCAAGAACAGTGTGATAGCTACAGCAGCAGAACAGCGCACATCAGAGCCTTCACAGCAGTATGTTGCGTTGTTCTGTGTTTCTTTACTAGCACTTTGTTCTCCACGTGAAGCCTTTGTAATTCTTCCAAATACATTGTTTTTGTTTTGTTTATTTTCAGAGCTCATAATTCAGTCCAGGCTCCAGAGATAGTGGCAAGCCAGTTCCAGAGAGGTAGTCTTCAGCGTCCACCCATGTCTATAGACAGCGCAGTGTGGACCAAACCAGTGACCACTGAAGCAGTCCTAGAAGACCTGGTGCTGGACTGCAGCTTGCCTCAGTCCCTGCAGCTGTCAGAGGACTATGATGACACGGCTGATATCGGCAAATGGGGAGAGCAGCTGGTCTACTCGTTCCTCACACACTGGAGAGAAAGTGGCAGCGGACCCAGAGAGATCACCTGGTACAACCAAATTGGCGAGAGTGGACAACCATGCGACTTCAAGCTGACCTTCGCAAATGGCCAGGATGGCATGCGAGAGGTTTACGTGGAAGTCAAGACGACGATCAAGCGGGAGAAGCACTTTATCCACCTGTCAGCCAACGAGCTGGACTTAGCGCTAAGGGAGAGGGAGAATTATCACATATACAGAGTGTACGGCGCTGGAGATTCGCAAAGCGTCCGCCTCTGTCGCATCAAAAACCTCGCCCAGCACCTGCATTCCAAAACACTGGAACTGTTTTTGTTTGTGTAGCATATTTTAGCGTTTTTAGCGTTCTCTTGCCTATATAATTTTATTCCACTGTGTTGTTTCTGTGAATGGTGCACTGTTCAGTATACAATTAACTACTGTTGTTTGATTCATTCACGTTATGAAATAACACTTTAGTCTTTTACAAGTATTTAAACAGAATTTTAATTCCTGTGAAGTCGTTTTAGACATTGTTGTACCTGTGTTTTTAATTACTTTTTATTTTTTACTATTCAGAGTGCTGCATTTCTATTAGCGTGTCTGGTTTTAGGCTTTGAAAATAAGTTTTAGTTTATGCATCTCAAATGAACCCTTATTTATGTTCATCACCAAATTGTATGCATTCATTATTCAGCTGTTGGAGCCATAACATCTGTGTTGATAGTTGTAATTATAATAATTAAATTTCATAAAATGCTGGAATCGTGTTTATGGTGCAGGCTTTTTTTATAAAAGAAAAAACGTGAAAGCAATCAGGTGACATAAGACTCCTAAATATGAATCGTCTTCATGTCTTCAGGTAAGACAACTCCGTCGGAAATCTACAGTTACTGATTTTTAGTGACCGTATCATCTTTTGTAATCAAAGACTGATGTATGTAAATATTGTTAAAGTTTGAATACCATTCACTCCCCAGTCTATACAGTCCATATATAGAAACTACAAAAACAGCATTTTGAATCACTTGCTTCGTTTACATGTGCTGTCCTATTCCACCTACAGCGGTTTAGCTCTACACACTCATATATATATATATATATATATATATAAAAATATATAAAGTCAATATTAAAGGGAAATTTCACTAGTTTTTCTCAGAATTGTACCAACATGAACATCATTGCCTTTTTCTCATGTGTATCAACATGTTAATTTAGTTCAAATGTAATCTGGCTTTAAGCAAAATGTACTATTTTTAACGCCTGAAATTAGAGCATAATTTCATGAATATTCATTTATTGCGTCAATGTGTTGTCCACTTTCGGGGCAAGGAAACTGAAAAAAAGCAAAATTCTTTAAAACATGTTGGACCAAGCAGCAACACAATGTGGTGATGAATTGTGAACTTCACTAAGTTGTGATGCAACTGCTAGTAACCGGCTCACTGAATTAGGTTAGTCATTTGGCGGTGTGAGTAGCTTTTTGTTCTTCACCTTGATGGCATTTAATTTTATTGCTATGAATGCATGTTGAATAATATTTGTTGATTACCTCCTAAAATATCAGACTTATTACCTCCTAACACATTCATTAGCTCCATGCACTGCAATGCAAACTGGTTGAGTTATTCTAAGTTACAGAAGTGTGTAAGAAAGGTTTGGCTTATTAAGGGGTTCACGTGGTCAGTGTGGTGGTGCAATGACCACACTGACCAAATCAATTTGTTTACAGTATCATTTGCCACTCAACAAGCCTTTGCCAGCTGTTCAATTTCCCTCCTTTCTACATTAAGAGTGTTTTCCCTGCTCTAAAACACAAAGTCCAGTTCGTGACCTTATTAACGAGCTGATGAGCTCAATCCGAGAGCAGAGGAACATTAACCCATTCATGTCCAACAACTCAGTTTGGTGTGATGAGGAAAAAGGCCACGAAACGACAGAATCGACTGGTCACACTTTAAGTACTTGAATCTTTATTTTTGTTTACAATTAATTTTTTTATTTTTTTAGAATTCTGTACTCATATTTGACCAAAAACACAAAGTCATAAAAACACACTTTTCGGCCATATGGTTTGGTCAATTTAAAATATTTTTATGCTCCAGCAAACTAAACTCACAATACAAAAGGTCAAATGATACATAAAGCTTATAGAAGGACATAAAACCCAGATGTGGACGTTGATGATCATTAATATCGCACTTCCACGTTAATCTCTACGTCGAAGTCACTACACGGACTTTGGTGTTTACACGGTCGAGCGCCTGTTCACGGGCAACGAAGGCATCGCGCGGCCGGCGACCTGTTCGGCTATTGGCTGAAGAACACGTGGGCGGCGCTTCCCACAAGCTCCTGTAAGGTGCTATTGGTCGATGATTGCAGCAGGCGGAGTTTTCCCTGCGCGTTCCAAAGCTGCTACGGGCAGATACTCGAAGTGGGTGGGGCTTCTTAGCCAGCGTTCTAAAGGCTGCTATTGGTTGAAGTATGCCGGGGGGCGTGGCCTCCCATCAGCTCTCTGAAAGCTTTGATTTGGCATCAGGAGCTGCGGAGCCAGACAATAGCAGAGCTGAGAGAGCAGAGGGACATTAGGACACAAGCGGAGTCAGAAGGAGGACTGAACGGGTCCAAATGCCGATAGAAGAGACACAGAACAATATCAGAAACACAGAGGGAGAGAGAGAAAGAAAGAAGAAAATGCTCTGCCTTCACCCGCGGTCAGGTTAGGAAGCCTCACCGAACAAGGACGGATTTGATGGTGAGTAAATCCCTGGCAATCGCTGCATTTCACCTGCACCACAGTATCATTCAAACTCCTCTTATTTCTGAGTCTGGACTTCGGCAGGCTAACGGTTCCAGGGTGTTATTACATGATTATTAGCCTGTATGGCTTTGAATAAGGGCTGCTGGTAGTGTAGTCTGTTTGTAAATACAAGCCAGGTGGAGCGTTTTAGCAGCACTGCGGACTCAGTCATTCAGCTGGTGGCAAGACAACGTAGAATATATTAAATACATTGAATGAAAAACACGTCGCCGGTGATTTTTCTGATTTCTGTGCGGACATTGCTCTCTAGTCGTTGTAAATAAAACGATTCTAAAGCTGACTTATTACTCATGCAAATGTCAAGCATGAATATTGAAGAGTCCCATTGCTTTAGACGCCTCAGTTCCGCTGGCTGGCCTGCACTGGGGTCGTTCTGTGTTGTTGGTGAGCTGCTGGAGAGGATGAGTCAGGATCCTGTAGGTCACCCAGTGGGAAAAAGGGAATAACGAGGCTGTCACAGGTTAAAAGGATAAGAGAAAACCAGAGGAACTGGATAAAGCTCGTGCATTTCAGATCAGCATGCAGTTTGATAGTCCAGTGCACATGCAGTGTGATGAAGAGGAAAAACAGCCACACCAGCTGAACAAGCCCACAATGCACTGTGCACTTCTTTCCACATAGGAGACTGAATGTGTGTCCTGGACAGAGAGAAAGGAATAAAAATATATGTATATATATAGATAGATAGATAGATAGATAGATATATGTACAGTTATTAATTTTATTACCTTTTGGCAGATTTGTTTGACTTCAGTTTACGGTTTGCTTTATGATCATATCTTCGACCAGGTATGTCACGTCTAGAAGTAACAGGACCTCCACAATCTTTTATATAAGAACTGTGTCGACATGTACGGCTCATGAACACTGTACTGAAGCCTAGACCTGTTCTAAGAAGCACTTTGGGCAGTCTCAGTCTTATTCCATGTCTAAAAGACCATCTCTGGATGATGACGATGGTAATTTCTGCAGAAGAAAACCACTAACTTCCAGAGGATGCTGATCAAAAGAGGCTTATAATGACATACAGCACTGGCTTTGTTTGTAGGACATTTGCACTGTGTACTCACTGTTTATCTCATAGAAACTGATTCAATTTCAAGGACGAATGCAATGCTGTGGAAATGAATGCTGATATGAATACATTAGGCATTGTTGGTTTTGTTGGGATGGTGTGTGCCTTCTTTTTTCTTTCCTATTCTTTTCTTGGATGCTCTGAGCAGCCGCAGGTGTGTGAGTGTGTGTCTGTGTGTAATTAGCTTTCCGTAGGAACCAAGTGTTCCCAGGATGATTGACATTTGGCTGCTTCTCACTAGGACTTTAAAAAAAGAGCACAGGAATGTTCAGATGAGATTTAGAAACTGAAAACAAAAAATAATGATTTACTTGATTCATTGGTTCCATAAGAAAATATGTATGTATGCATGTATAAGTAGATAAGCAGATTTTTAAATGTATTCATTCACTGTTCATTATTGAATCATTGCAGTAAACAGAGTCTTTCAGAGTGGTTTGTTGTGAAATGGTTCTTTACTGAGAAACGTTCAGATTTCTTTGTAGTAACGGTGATAGGAACCAGGGGTCACCATGCAAATATAGTCGTTTCATTTACTGTCCAAAAAGACCAGTGAACCTACATGTGTCTTTGAGTTTTGTATGTAGTGTTGATAATTGTAAGTAGTTGTAGAGCTGAAAAAAGGTTTTCTTCTTCCTGTGTGTGGAAGGGCATTTCAGTCAAATTTGATATTTTATTTTTTACGACATCGTTCAAATAATATTCGACAAATACCACCACCACAAAAAAACATTCAAAAAAGTCATTAGTCATTGGCTGTTTATTTTATTTGTCGTTCATTTTATTTTATCATTTGCAGGAAAGAACACAGCTGTGTGGAACGTTTCCTGTCTTTCTTTTCCCTTTCTATCTTTTTTCCCATTTGAAATGTGCAGTTTATTAAGCCTAATTATAATAATTACAATAAAAATAACACTGCAGTAGTAAGATTACCGTAACCTGTAGCCTTTTCTGTTTGGAGTGCACAACATTTTAGTGTAATCTTACCAGACTTTACATAAACTCCACCAGTCTGTAACTGAAAACAACTGCACAGATCAGCATGAATTCCATGCTGGTTTATGCTGGTCTGGTGCTGGTTTAGTTGGTTACCCAGCATGGTCATACTGGTTGACCAGCATACCAGCATCCAAAGCACAACATATGCTGGTTTTGCTGATGACCAGCCATGTTGGTCTATGCTGGTTTTTATAGTAGGGTTAAGAAATGTCGTTAACATGTGCTCTAGGTTAAGTGGAGAACGACCCTCAGGATGAGCCCTGCCACAATAGCGGGCTCTTGCTTGTAGGCTCTTGCTAGCTGCACTATCTGGCTAGCTGGCTTTCCATCAATTCAGGGGATCTATGTGAAGTGGTATGCACATGTCTTCACCATAATGGTGAAGTTCTGTTTAGTCGATTTCATTGTTTTTGTGTTGTAATCCTCGCCGAACAGGGCCGCTGTGGACGCGTGGCCAACAGTTTAGTTGCATGGCTCGGTTCAGGTGCAGGGCTCCCATGGACATGCTGAAAGCTGAAAGATCTCGCACTTTTGTTTCTGTTGAGAGTTTAAGTACATTTGTAGTGAACCTCAGGGGTTTGTGCCCTGGCTCAAGAAATGATGCAATGATTTTTTGAATTTCTGTTTTTTTTTAACAGACTTGAACCTCTGACCAAAAAAAAACAGTGCCTCTGATGGAGTTCCGACATGTCATGGTGCTTAAACATGAGAACAAGTGATGGTAGAAAAGCTAATTCACCTATAGTCAAACATCCTAGTGCACTATTTACATTTTTTAAAACTTTCGTGACTATTTGAATAATCAAATATATTGACCCATCGCTAGTACCTGTCCACCCTTAATTAATAAAAAAAAAACAAAAACAAAAAAAATTTAGGCCAAAATCTTATCTAGAAATAATGGTAAAATAATATGTCAGCACTCTTACCATTTAATGTAATGACGTTCTATAAGGGAGCTTTTAGAGGCCTTAAACTCCTCAGACATCTGGTTCCTATCACCACCACTGTCAATAACTCTGACTCGATAAGTTTCTCTAGAATGGAGCATTTCATGTCAACCCACTCTGAACGACTTTGTTTACATTTTAACCATGTAATTACGCAGACATTTGAAAAAATCAGTGGAATTCCCCTTTCAGTGTACAGTGATACAGAAGACAGTTCCCCACAAAGACAGCAATACAAACTTGCATGTGTATTTTCCTCTGATCCTCTTTTTCACACCCCTGTGGTCTGAGCACAAGGTGGGGGACTCGCAGCTTTTAATTAATGATTCAGGAGATGGACGAGCTCCACAGGCCCTGCTGTCTGCTGCTGCTTCATTAGCTGGCTGTTTACAGATATATGCCTGTGCTTGCCTGTAAAACTGAGAGCCGTCCACTGCTTCTACTGCTAGTTGGAAAATGTCTTGCGTAATGTAGTGGGGCATCAGGAGATTGAGAAGCTAAACTGTCAGAAGAGCTATTGGCTTTCTAGCGCTCGCTCTATTATCGTTCCTTTGAACATTTCCGAACGATTGAAACGGTTTCTCACTGTCTGGAAACGGGCCGGGCTGCGTAACAGCTCTCTAGATTTGCAGGCTTGAAAAAGCCTGGCCAGTATTTATGCACCTGTCCAGCATTTCGCAAGTAATCAACCTTCTCCCTTCAGCAGAACAGTAACAGCATATGCAGCTCCACCCCTGTGGTAGGCCTATTTAGTCATGTTAAATGCTTATGTTGTGGTCTCAGAAGGATTTTTATGACTCATTTTTAAACAACTGAAGCAGCAGTGAGATCTGTAGGGCTGAACAGCTGGAAGGCTTGCTGGCCCCAGTTATGCTGTCAGCAGTATTTAATACCAAATGGACCGTGTTGCCTTTAGAACTCTGTAAAGAGTAAGTGTTCAGCAGACCTACACTGATGGTTCCCAGTCCAGGTCCTGCAGTATCCATATTCTGCATATTTTCTTTTTTCCCTGCTCATCCAACTAATCAGCTCATTAACATGCGCTTCATGAGATGTGCAGTCACTCAAGGACCAGTGTTGGGAAAACTGTTCTACACCATTGTATAGCTTGTAACTGCAAGCGTGTGTTTGTGAGCTCCTGCTTGTGTGGGTTCGTGGCTGTTTTTCACGCAAAAGCGAACTGCAGGCTGATAGCTCCCCCTTGTGAAGAAACTTCAGACTGCTAAACAGGCACAAGTGAATGGGTGAGTCCAAAACCAAACCCACATGCTTTAGATATTATAAGTTACCCTTTATTACTCCCACAACAGGGTAATTCACCTCCGCATTTAACCCATCTGTGCAGTGAAACACCCACATGTTTGAACAAAAAAACCTTTGAATTCCTCAGACATGTTGAACTCTGGGGAACCTATAGCAAAAACTGTGGAAAATTGATTCTGTCATAACCTAACATTATTAATGCCCCAAAATATTGCAACAGTTAAAGCTAAACCTTACATCTGCATATTATTTAATACCAATTAGCAAAAAATGTTTAAAATGAATTGAGTCCTCTCTAGTACTCTACAACTTCTCTCTCCCATCATGGCAGTTAACGTCTTTGAAGCACTGTCATTGGCTTACTTATTGGATTGCTGAGATCTGATCTGTCTATTGCCCAGGCCCACAGCCAACGACTGTTTCACAAAAACAGCCTGAAAGACCTGAAAGTCAATGTGACTCCCAAATTCTCAGGAACTCAATCTCCTTTCAGTGTATTTCCAAGTTAAACACAGTATCAAGGAAGTAGCTTTCAGAGTGTTTTCACTTGTTAATAGGATTGGTTGATGCAAGGCATAGATGAGACAGAAGCATTGGGCCAATTTATGTGGGAGTTTTTTAATGTCTCACACACAAATGAAAATGTC